TTTATCTTCTTTAAATAAATTGTAAATATTTATCTTTCTATTCCTGAACAAAGTTAATATGAATCTATTAAAAAGAGAGTTAAATGGTTAGTGTGTGCTTGTTTTAACATTTTCTGAAATCTATCTTTGTCTTTTTGATCCATATATCAAGTAATTGCAGGCCAAGTTATGTATTCAATGAGAATCAATTCTCGAGTCATATGTTTAAATTTTATATGCTCACTTTTTTTGTATTAACCAGGTCTGAGTGGTAGTACCACACAGAGAGTGTTTGGATAGCACCAATAACACATGATTTGGTGAGAGAAAAAGTAGAGTCATTTCGGAATAAATGAAAATGAGAGGTCTTATGGCTAAAATCATCCCTCATCTTTTTTTCAGCATCTTCTTGTTTTCTCTCTCCTTGTTGTCCTCAATTTAGGAATCTCAGCAGATGCTTGGAAGGTTGATTCCAGAAAAGCAATTGCTTAATGATCAGCTAAAGCAAGTTCAACAGAATAGTCTCCACAGTAAGTGTTTTTTTCTAAGTCTGAGTTTGTAAAGGACACGATGCTGCATTATGCAGTGTACTCTGTAATTTCTTCTTTTATGTAGCAAGGTGTATGTTGAAAAATGTTGCTTCCTATCACCTGAAATACCCTGTGTAGGAAAATATTTCATTGCCAATATGTTTAAAACCAGGAGATTCTCTTCTTACTATCAAAAGAGCCTTGGAAGCCAAGGAACTAGCACGTCAACAGCTTCGGGATCAGCTAGATGAAGTAGAAAAAGAAACCAGATCTAAACTTCAGGAAATTGATATTTTCAATAATCAACTGAAGGTAATACTAGACTTTTTAAACTTTTCTTCTAAATATTCAGTTAAATATTTTCTAACTTGATTAGGGAATGACTGATTTAGAATGCCAGTTTTAAGAACTTTCTCAAGTCTCTTTAAGAAAATACTACTTAGCATACACACTCAGAGCTTAGATCAACTTAATTTGCAGAGTATATTTAAGAAAAAAACTGAGCTCTGATTCCGGATCTGTGATTGCAAATAGGAAATTGCCAGTTTCTGTCCTTTTGCAGAAAGGACAGTGCAAGACTCTGGTAGGTCAGCAAATCTGCTGGAATCGGTACTTCAAATTGAAACCTTTAGTTAAGAAACTTGATTTTCTACTGACACACAGAAATTTTTATCTGCTGTTTGTAAGCTCCTATTTGTTCTTTAATGTAATTGTCTGTTGTTTGTGATTTCATGCTTTATTGATCAGTCTTTTGTTAAAACGATGTGATTTTTGTTTATTTCTGCACAAGAAAACGACTGAAATTGCAGAAGACAATGGAGGAAGTGGTCTATAGAAAGAAGTTATAAATCAGTCTTTATTTGCAAACTTTTAATAGCATTCATTTTTTCATAAAATGTTCTGAAGTTCAAGTACTTTATCTGCTAATTCCAGTGATGTTTTCTACTGAAAGCTGACTAGAAAAATACCCGATTTCTTACAAGATATAATAAATTGTGTTACAAGTATTTAGAAGGAAAAGCACAATGGTAGATACATTAATTTTTCTGTAGCTGTTTTGAAATTAGCAAACTATGATTACAACATAAGCTTTAGGATGGAAGGTATGTTTGAAGTTAAGCAACAAATAACTTGTTTTAACTGTTTAACAGCTGTAGACCATAGCATTACCTATTTTAATGCCCGTTCAAAGAGGAGTCTCGCGGTCTTAAGCAGGGAGGAGAAAGGGGAGAATCTCTGCAGAGTCGTAAGAGATACAAGACAAACAATATGTGCAAAATTTATTTTAGAAGAAACCACAATGAGGATTTTTTTATACACATCTTAACATGTCATGCTTTTAGGGCGGTATATATTTTTTTAAAATAGTCTTTTTGAAGTGTTTTGCTGATTAAATATGACCAAAGGATATTAATTCTAAAATTAGTGTCAGCCTTTGATTTGATCGGTTTATAAATAGGCAGAGGGCTGACTTATCTTAGTACTGTGATACCAGCAGTCCCCCTCAAACAAACAAGAAAACAAAATTCATTATTTTAAATAACGAAGGGCTTGACTTAACAAATAACAATATAATGATAATTAAAAATTGAAGATGCATATTAAAGAAACACATTGATTTATCAGAATGTCTGTCATCTATCCAAGAATACCTTGACTAATTGTAAACTGTTTTGCAGTTTAATGGGAAAATTGATTGCTGTGTTCAAAGTTCAGTATTTAGAGTTATCGCTTCAGATGCTGAAAATTAGTTATGTAGACAGTTCTTTGGGAAGACTTTAGCAAGCTTCCTCTGACTTAAGGATATTGTTCTCTTCATTTCGTAATACGTAGAAGCAGTGCTTAATCGAAATACCGCTTTTTGATGTTATATATTGGTATTCTTGCCTTGCTGCAGCTTTCATGGCTTTCTTGGAAAAGATGGGTGTAAGAGGAGCAGTAGTACTGTTGAACCTGAGAGGCGGGAGCTTAATTCAGAAAGAATTATATCTTTTCCCTTTGATAGTTTTGCTAGGTGTGCAAGACGTATTTTGAGCCACCTGGATGATTTCATTGCTAGGTTTAAATACCTAGGAAGGCATATACACCTTTAGTGAACTCAGCATGGAATGGTTGGAGTAGTCCTAGTGTCAGAGAATGTGCATAGAGGGTGCTGTGTGTGCAGCAGGGATTTAATGGCCGTTGTTTTTGAAGAGAGAGATCTCAGAACATCTTGTATGTGAGACTTCATACACAAAGGTAATGAAAGCTTTCCCGAGACTTGTGGTTTTATTAAGGGTTCATGTGAAGTAGACATTCTCTTCTTAAATCAAGGCGGAACACGTTGTCTCTTAGATAGTAATATTGCTCAAAACAAAGTTGTCTAAGAACTTGCATAATTCTCAGATACTTTTACCTAAAAATTCAAAAATTTCTGACAACTTACAGGAACTGCCACTGAAAAGATGGTGCTACATTTGAAATAGGTAGAAAATGACTTATAAAGAATTGTCAAATTAATAGCTTCTCCAATTAACAGAAGAACTTTTTGTTTATCTGTTAGTAACCAGGCTCATTTTGGTGCTACAGTACCTGGTAATTTGTATAATTATTAGTCAACTTTATAACACATTTAAATATAAAACCTTTTCAAATAACATGTCAAAAATTCCAACACATCTGAGTTCTAAATATGGTAAAGGCTTCTTGTCTTGTAAACTAAGGGAAAATACGTAGAGATGGGAAATGCAGAAATGTTTCTTTTCAAAATGTACTTTTAATGAAGAAATAAATTAAACCCTCAATTTTAATCAAGGCTGTTTCTAAATGTTCTTGTTAGGCTTAAAACTGATTGGCTTTTTTCATGATGATCTGCTCTCCCTTTTTGCTTCAACATACTAACCGAGGGATGCACGTTCGATGGAGCGGCTGCTAGGAGGGCAGCACCATAATCGATACTACCTTGGGCAGGTTTTGTTCTCTGCCAAGTGATGGAAGAGGCACTGGTGCTTGCCTCAACTTCAGTAATGAAACCAGCTTCTAGAGGAGAAGCAAAATGATATAGTACTGCTTGTGAACTCCCCAGGAAAATAAAAACATATCTAAATGTGCTTTAGCTGTATACCAGCTCATTTTGTGCTCATTTTGTACAGAGAGAGGGAGTAATGCATATCTTAGTCAAAAACAGTTTAATAGAAAACAGTACCAAAATTGTAAATACGTAAGCTTCCGCTTTCTAAGCGTAAGGTATATGCCAAACAAGCTTTGATGACATGCTTAAGAGGCAGTGAAGTTGGCAGCAACATTAAGCTATAAACTGTTGTCATTGGTGTTGAGATTTATTCCTTACCAGCTATGAATATTTGTTGTGTTATCTCCTATGTGAATATATCCTCAAATTTCGCAAAACACCATTTCTGATTCGTTCTCCTGAAACAGGCTATACCTGATCTACAGATGATGAATAGAGAAATATGCCATGATAGTACAAGATACAGTGAACAATTTAACTAGCATCTAGTGTGCCTTTTCATTCATGAGATCATAAGGTTTACCTAATATTTCAATATATTTTAGGTTATGGGGCAACTTGTTAACACTGTAGTAGTATACAGTGAATTGCACTGCATTTGCCTCCATAGTTATAGTTTTTATATTCTGCAGTTTAGTGAATATTCAAAACAAGTGTTAAATTAGCACGTCGTAATAGCATATATGAGTGAGTAGGGACATAAATGAAACTTTTTTTTTTTTCCCGCTGAATCTTTTTTTGTCCCTCCAAAACAACTGATTTATTTTTCTTCTTATTTTTCTTCTTAGTCCTTTGGAGCTCAAGTGCTTCATTTACTTTTGTTTCAAGCTAACATCCCAAGAGTTGGAAGCGTTCACAGAATTTGTTTCCTTTTCAAAAACTTCCTGGAGTATATAATGTTATTAATATTTCAAAACAGGTAGTTTCAAGTATTTTCACTGAATATCTGTAGGTAGAACCACACGATTTTGGGAAACTCTTAGGACTTGTTTGTCCTAATAGGACTAATAGGTACCTCAGCCTGCAGCTGCTCAGATATTCTTTTGTGTCAGATTTGAGCCATTTTATCAGAGAAGATAGTAGTCTTGTGAATTGAGTTGTATTTGGCTCTAGAGCAAGTGACTGAGTTTGTAACAGAGTTTAAAGTTGGGCCTCTTTTTTGCGTCCTGAGTAATGGTTGAAAGAGTCTGACTTCCATGACTCTTTAAAAATCTTTGCCTAGAAATCTCCTAATTAAAATGGATACAGATATTGGTAAACTTTAACTAGACACTTGTTCATTTTCTCTACTTTATAAAATAAATCTGCAGAATAGAAAGCTTTATATTAGGTTTCATGTTTGTATATGTATAGTCCTACTATTGTTTACCTTTACAAATTCTATCTACACTCAGTGTGAATTTGCACTTAAATGTTACAAAGATCAGTCATTATGCGATGCCAAATAAAGCAATAATAATTCTTAATACAGTTCTTGTCTCCAAAGACCAAATAATCATTTCATGTAGCATAGAAGAATCAAGTATCTAGAGCTTATCGGTCTTGTTGCACAGGAGAGGACAATGTTTCTGAAATGCATGAGTCTTGCTGAGAAGCTGTTCTCAGCACCTGCAAAAAGTGGTGAACAAGTAAAATCAAGTCCTTAAAAATGTTTTACATTTTGTGTCATGTTCCAGTTGTTGTCAGTCCCTGTCTAGTTGGTGTGCACTGGACAAGTCTTGCATATGAATGCCTGTTTACATTTGAGCATTTCTTTCTTCCAGTCAGTGGCAATGGAAGATGCAATGCTGCAGTGCCTGGCAGTTCTCCTGGGCTGCGTCAACTACTTAGACTCCTTTCTAAAGGTCTCCATGCCATACTCAGGCAGTACACAACTCTCTCAGTCTGAGCGATGAACCTCCTCCAGTTATGTGCTTCACTTTACCGTAAACAGATGAGTGTGCAGTGTTTAACTAAGTCAGAGTTTAATAAGAGGCACTAGTGCTAGAACGTAACCAAAGAGATGGGTTTGTGATTTGATTCTTGACCTAATCTTTACTGCCTAGGTGAGTGTGCCTTGAGTTGCAGCTTGGGCAAGGTACTAGTTAGTTGGGGGTTGTTTTTGCTTATCTGAAACTTCAAGATTTTAAGCCAATTGCCTAATTTAGTTACAATGATGTTCAGAATTTTTAAAAAGAAAAGACTTTTATGCGAAGTATTCCTACATAGCACTGTAAGTTGTAGTATCGGATTCGAGAGAGATGGCAATCCATTCTCTTTGCCAAATCCCCCATAGCTATAATACAGGGTGAAAGGAGGAACCCTCTCTGTCAAGGACAAAGCGGGTGCTTGGATTGCTGGGGAATAATGGGGTTGAAGAGTGTCTCTGTGGGAAGGTCTCAGTGAGCACAGAACTGCAGGGTTCTTTCCTCCAGGGTCATATGCTCTGGTTTGTCTCAAGGGGAGAAGGGTTGATGGAAACCTTGTGTTGTAATCCCTTAAGTATGCTAAATTCTGTTGTCTTTCTGTCAAAAGGCAAAATTTGGGCTTAAACAACTATATTTCTAATGTTAAGGTTTTCATAACAACATGACTTGTCTGTATATAGTGAATATTACTCTGCTGAATGAAAATCATATTTTAATTCATATTCAATATTTTGTGGGTAACTGAATGTGGCTATTGTAACATCTCAGAATTATACTTGTTAGTCTGTTTGTGAATTAAGTGGAAAAGTAACAATTTAAAAGGTAAGACATGCTTTGTCCTGCACACCAGAAACAAGCAAAGCGTTGTTATGTCTTTGGAGTTCCAATATTCAATTTTAAAACGTACAGCTTCTAAGTTTCTTATATCTGAAAAGATGAGTGTAGGACCGAGCTGGATATTCAGCTGGCAAATGTTTCATTATGTTGATTGTTTAAGTATTACTATAATTTTGTTCAACTGGTGTCCTGTAACTCTGTGGGAGGTGCTGATTCTTTCTCCCCTGTCCTCCCACTGATACTTGGCAAAGGAACAGAGCATCTATCTAAGATTTTCTTGACTGTTACAGGTATGCCACAGAAAAATCTTTTCACAAAATGATGAACTAGCACATGGGCTTAGCTGGGAGGGAATAATGTGTTAAAATGTCTATGAAAATTAAATAATTATTAAAATGTCCCTTGAGATCCCAACTCAGCTGAGCGTATAGATAAAATGACAAAGTAAGCAAACAAAATCGATTAATTATTTGGACTATGGTTGGCAGCAGCACTTAACTGCTGTCATGCAGCAGTTCATGATCTTACTATATGTACTCAATATGAGAAATTGCTTGCTTCAGACAGACATGGAGGCATGGCCCATGGCTAGAACTTCCCCAATTTTCTGTTTGACAGTAAAAGGAGCATATATCGTATATTTAGTGGTAAGATAAACTTACAGGTCTAAACTGTGATTTAAAATATAGTGTTTGGACAAGCCTTGTAGTTGGCCATCTAGTGAAAGTCAATAATGTTGGGTGCACAGATGCCTTGCAAGTTGTAACTTGGTTTTATGTATTTGCGAATTCAGGGAGTTGGTTTTTAAAGGGAAGGAAGTACCAACATTCTGGATTAGATGTAGATTCCTCCCGATTCTGTGTGTGTGTAGGGGAACTGAATCATTCTTTGTAGGTTACAAATTTCTTGTTAAAAAGTAACCTAAACTCAGAAACTCACATCTGGGTTGTCTCACTTAAAAGTTCTTGCGATTTATTGGGGTTTTTTGTTTAACTGCAATGGCCTTCATAGTCTTAGAGAATTTTAGTTCCTTTTTCTTTGCCTCTTGATTATTTCTATTTAACTAACGCCAGAGTTTGGGAAAAAGATCCAAAGGGGGTGAAAAAACCAAACCTGGAATGCACAGCTCACTAAACAGCTTAAAATTTGGCAAATAACAACACAACAAGTAACCTTCACTGTCGCTTTATTAGAAATATGTGACTCCCTCAGATCTCTCTGTTCAGTAGCAAGAGCAGTTCTCATGGGGTGGGGCTCAGAATCTGAAGCTCCTTGCCATACAAAATTAAGTGGCAAGAGAGGACAGGAAGACTATGCTAAAGCTGAACTAAACGTAAAAGTCACAAGCCTGTGCTCTGGGTAGCGGTCTCTTTGCCCAGACAAAAGAAGTAGCTTGTTAAAAATCACGACTACTAGTCGAGATATTTGCTACTTCATGGAAGTAGTATTTTGAGCTTCAAGAGATTTGTAGATGCTTGGTTTTATGGATTTCTGCAATCTGAAAAAAAGGCAGTATTTTTGGCTGGCTGCAAAGCTGCTTTCAACTGTGCCATTTCCTAATGTATGTCCTTTCAGACGAATGCTTGTAAATCGCTCCACTGCTCATGTTCTTATGGTTGTATATTTGTCCTTTGCCACTGTATGTATTTTCTGATGCAAATAAGGGTTCAGGGGATCATGTAGAGAAGACTGTGATTCCCCTAGAGAAGTTAATTTGAAGCAAGAGTCAAATCCTTCGTACCTCAATGTATTACAAGTTTAACGACATTAAAGGAGCTGAAGTAAGAATGTAGAGTTACAGGAAATGACTGTTTACTCTAGGTAGCACTTCAGAAATGTGTAGTCTGATGAGAGGCTGCCTCTGGCTCCAGGTCCAATTGACCAGCTGCTTTTTTGCTGTGAGCTCTTAATCCCTTTATTTTTTCACTGTTTTTTTTTTCGTGAGACAACTACTAAAACCCCATTACACTCAATATTGCTAATGTATTTCCTTCTTAGTAGCCCTTTTCCTTGGTGCAGAATAAGGCTGCGCATGAATCTCCATAACCGTGGGCATTCAGGGATTAAAAATTTTCCCCAAGGCAATGTCCTACCTGACTAATTCTGATGATTTTGCAAGTGTAGTTTATTTTACATTCTGTAATAAATCCTAACTACATACTAAGCTTTAATATGACAATGGAAAATAAGGATGATTGTAAAATATGGTATTGCCTAAATTATCTCTGTATTTCAGTGAGTTTCATGGCCTTAGCAGAGTTCTAATTAAAACTTGGATAAGAATAATATCTCTTTAATGATGTCAAGTTCAGTTTTCATTGAATTTAAATTTGAGGATCATTAATGGAAATGAGACTGTGAGCTAAAACATGAGGTTCAACTTCACTGTTTTTTAAGCTTTCATCCACATATCAGAAACATTTTTAATACCTTGCAAAGGTCCTGTGCTACTCCTCTTTGTAATGTAATTATTTTAACATATTAAAATTCAATGTTCACAGCATGCAGTTGTTGAGCACTACTGCATGTATACCTTCCCCTAAGTAAAATTTTTAGATGCAGTGCAAGTACAACCTGTAAATTAGCAAGTATTAACTTTCAACTCTTATGAAACAATAGCCAGAAGTTAGTAATAATATTGTGAAAATAACTTACAGAAACTTTCTTTGAATCATTTGATAATGAGTTTTCTTGTTTGGTTTTTTTTGTTTTTTCTGCTCTTACGCAGTTTTCTACTGCATTTTGGTTAGTGTGTAAGGATAGTTGCATGAAGTCTTAATCTCACTAATTTGTAGATTGTGCATTTCTGAAAAGCTATCCAAATACTTTCAAGATACATTATCTCAAACTCTGAATTAATTAAGATAAAATTTTTTAGGATACAAGAACTAAACAAACCTGCTGATGATGTAACATATTTCAGTAAAAGTAGACATTATTAAGATATAGATTTAGAAACAATTTCCTCATACAAGCTTCTCCAGTATCTGTGCTATATTTTCATGAAAGCGTAATTTTTTTACGTGAAATATTTTCAACGAAAAATTTAAGTTGTTATAGGTAGTTATCCTTTTCTTCTTCCTTATAATACTGACAAATTCAGACACAAAATTCTAGCTTATGCAAAGAGATTCTGGGTAAAATTTGTATTTGTGTTAATAGGTGGCAATGAAAAAAACTAATATTTAGGAAAAGATGATGTTTCCATTAATAATATTCTAAATATTTCAGGCAATGTCTTTTCAGTTAATTAGAGGAAAACTGACTTGTATATGGATGAATACTTTCTGTGCCTTAATTCATCCCAAAGACATTGCTTAAGGAATTTAATCACCTGAATACAAAACAATCCTAAAGATCCTTTGGTAAATCACCATTAATTTCAAAATAAAGCCGAATAACTGAAACAGTTCCTATTATGAGCAACTCAGCAGGCAGAATTTTGTATGGAATTTAATAAATTAATTCAGCATACTGGTGAACAACTTAAAATAAAACATAAGTGACTTTTTAGATTAAGCTTTGTCAAACTTTTATCAACTTTTTAAAGTCCCATTTAAAAAAGACTTTCTTGTTTCTTAAACCTTTAACTTCTCAGATGATACGGATAAAAATAATAAAAAAAACCCAGTAAGTGGTCTATAGACCTTTGAAATCTATCTTAAATGTCTGTCAATGTATTTGTCAGTACTGTACATTTGAACAGATACTCAACCATTTGCAAATTTTGTTACTTCACAGTGAAGTATGTGGACCATTGGTTGTGATTCACATGGTATATGTTTCACATATTTTACTTTTTCCTGTAGGAGCTGAGAGAAATACATAACAAGCAGCAACTACAGAAGCAAAAGAACTTGGAAGCTGAGAGGCTGAAGCAGAAGGAACAAGAAAGGAAGACAGTAGAACTGGAAAAGCAAAAAGAAGCTCAAAGGTAACAATTTAAGCTCTTTCTGTAGACTTGTTAGTTAGCATTCAGAGCATTTTGCAAACAAGTGAAATAAGCTTTGCCTTACCAAGAACATAATCTGATCTGAGATAGTACGTCACTAAATGGCAAGAATACCTAAGACCTAGCCCAAGTTTCATTTCAGTGCAGATGATCCCTTTTAAAGGGCAGAGAATTTATTCATTTGTCTTTAAATGAGAGGTGTGCTGTGGAGATGAGCTTCTGTATTGATCTGTGACTCTTTTACCTGTCAGTGCTACACACAGATTTCAGCAGTGTTACTTAAGTGTGTAGGGTACTTCTATACCTAGAGGCTCTTGAACAGTGGAACTAACTAGCTCTGTCTTTTATACTAACGTAAAATACAGAGCTAATGATTTTCTGCTACATATTTGGAAGTTTGTTTTCTGTGTGTATTTAGAATATATTTGTGTAATATGAATGGCACGTAGGCTATTTGATTTAATTTTTAGCAGTTGTGAGTTTTTTATACTCTTAACGTACTCAATTGGTCAAGAGATGAAAGCCAAGTCCTGGGAATAAGAGGTCTTGAATTATTGATATAGCATTACATGGACTGTGACCTAAGGTGAATTGATAGCCCGTTTTACTACGTGGTGAGTCAAGCTGATTTTTACATTCCAGACAAAACCGAAACAACATCTCAGTGAAAACCATATTTTTGAACAGAAATCTTATACACAGAAGGCAGTTAAGTTTAGGTGATTCTTAAATAGTTTTCATAAAACCTATGCCTTCAAAAATCTGAAAGATCAACTTCAGAAATAGCAAACTTTCTAAGAGAACATCTTTCTATCACAAATAACGACACTAAATATGGTGATTATGTTGGAACTTTCCTTGAAAACAAGAAGGCTGTTGAGGTACTGAAATTATAGGTACATTAAAGTATTCTGTTTAAGAATAAATAAAATACTCCCTTCCAGAAAAAAGGAAATTTAAAAACCAGATCTATAGAAGAAAAAACTTTTGCCATGGAAAATTTGTTTCAGACATTATTGATAATGCAAAACTTCATGCTGCCCAAATAATAAAATCTTCCAAATAGCCGTAATTGGTATACCTGATAGTGAGCAATCTACCAGTCTTACTGATTTCCAATAGGCATAAGAATGAATAAAGTGAATGATTAATACTCATAACCTGGATACTGCCTGTTAATGACTACAGAAGTATACTGTCTATTAATAGCTCTGGTGAAAACAAAGAAGGAAATAATTGTCTAATATCATAATTATGTGCACTTAAACCTGTGCTTTAATGGATAACCACAGTCACTTTATACTGAGAACCACCTTAACAGTTTCTTGTTGGTAATTATGCACTGAATTGTGCCCATAAAGTAACTGAGCCAACAAATATATAGACGTAATGTATTTAGGGATGGTAGAGGTCTTTCTGAAGACCTCATATGGCTAATTAATCTTAGTTATCTGAAGGCTAATTCCATGCAGACTTGTTTGATTGTGTGAGTAATATACAGTTCAAGGGGAAAAAAATCACTACATTTGAGTAAAATGAGTAGAGCTCACTCTTGGAGTTTGAGGTAAGGACTGCCTGAGTGCTATAGTGCAGTTGGTGAGAGGAAAAAGAAAATTAAAAGGGTAAAAGTAACTATGATTAAATCCCAGGTTGGAGGGTCATATTGCACAATAATTAACACATCAGGAGTCTTTAAGTAAAGAAGAGAGCAGAATGTCAAGTTTTCTGTTCCTAACCCCAAGCTGTGATGCTCAGATCTGGGCTTGTGGTTTTTTAGCTTCTCTGTCTCTTCCTATTCCCTTCTGTGTCTTCAACTCGCGATACTACCTTCCGTAACAATCAAAGAAGAAAATTCTGCAGCTTCAGTGGAAGGACAAAAAAAATCATGCATAACCCCCATTCCCCTAAGAATCACTTTCATCTGCTCTTCTTGCTCCAGCAGTTAGAACGAACTTGGTTTATAAGTATGGGAAGATTTAATCACTCTACTAGAAATATAATTAAAATCTCAGTTTCCTATTTAAAGCCCCTCTGACTAAACTCAGCAGGTAAGACCACTCAAGTAAAGAGAAAATTGAGCTCTGTATGCCTATGGGGATGCAGCTTCAGTATTGCAATAAAACTGCTGAGTAATTGGCTCTGAACGCTTTGCAAGTGAACATGCAAAGGACAAATTCGGGAATTAAAATTGGAGGTTGTCAAAACAGTGAATTTATTAACTTCTTGGGTGATTTTACACTGAAAGCAGAAAGATATGGCAGTATTTCATGGAGGAGGAAGTGATATCCTTTGCAGTGGTGCCTTAACTTCTCCTCGTGGTGTAGTGATGTAGAATATTGAAAGGGTATCAGCAATTTCATTCAGAACCAAATATTTTTTTTAGTTTTTAGGCTAGTAGGTGCCATCTTAAACAGATACGAGGTACCTCGACATCTCTCAGAAAATATTTTTACCAACTCAAAGCTTCAATCAATAGAGGTGAAATTTTTGCCCTCTGGTGCCAGTGTACTGTCTGGAAAGTGGAATTTTCCCCTCAAGGAGTTATTAGAATTTTTTTTCCATGCAGTTTTGGCCAGGAATTAGTGTTGTCCTTGGACAAAATATCTTCTATGTATCAGTCCAAGTCTGTCATGAGCAGCTTGTTGTCATGCATTTGACATTAATTTTTTAACCATGGAGAAAGTATAGAAGTGGTACAAAATAAAGCACACTGGGCATCTGTTATAGCCCTTTAGAGTTCTCTTAACTGGTGCAAATTGTTTCTAGCAGAGGATATTTATTCTTTTTTTCTGTTGTCTTGTCCTCTGTTGGAGGGTAAGTACTTGTTAGCTTTAGCAGTTGGAAATGTTCTGTAAGAGTGCTGAATGAAGCTTGTCGATATTTTCACTCCTTGACCCTCAACAAGAGGATCAAGACTGCCATATTTTCTGTTTACTGCTTTTTTTTTGCTTTTTTTTTCCCCGATTTTGCTATTTTGAGCCTTACCTAGGGTTGTTTGTGGCTCTGCTAAACTAAGCAGAACCAATTTTTTTGACCAGTATTTCTGATTTCTTCCTGCATTTTAGAGCTGAAGTTAGTGCTCAGCAGATCGAAGTGCATAATCTGCTGCTTATTGGTTTTCAGGGCAAACTTTAGTTTTTTTTTAAAGAATTTATTATTGAAAATGTGTGGTGATAACTGTAGCTGGTATCTACAAGTCTAGATAAAATAAAAGGAATTGTGTGGCAAATGAAAATGGTGAATTGTAATGCTGGTATAATGGGATACTCAGATTACTTGAATTAGGCTGCTTGGGAAGAAATTTTCAAAAGCAGCCTTACAGTTATGTGGAACTGAAGGGATTATATCTGAGCTCTTGGATGCCAAGGAGTTTTGTTTCTTGAGCCAAGGGAGACTTATTTTTTCCCCTCTTTCTCTTCCTACTTTCTCCGTACGGTTCATCACTTAAAACAACTGCATAGGATTTGTGTATCCCATTGGAAACTATGAAAAGAGAATGCATAAATATTGTTGAATCCCCAAGTTGAGACTCGGGTGTTGCTGAATTGAAGAGGTGGGACTGAAAGTTACCAAGTTTATCATTTTCAGAGCATTGCGAGCTGAGTAAGAGACTAAGTTATCTGTGTAAATTTTCATACAATAATTGGAAAAACACAGGTAAATATGTTTATTTTCATGTTGTGGAGGAGAAGAGGTCACAGCCTCAATAAAGAAAGTCAAGTTTAGCGTTTACAAATGCTTCTCTGAAGAACTCTGGCAAGAAAAATAGTGTTGAATGTTTTTTCGCCATCTTATGTTCAGCTCCAAAACATGACTAGTTTATAATTTCTGTATGCTCAGGTTGCTCTGTACTTCTTTTAGAGCTCTGTGGAATTTTATTATAAAGGTACAGAAATGATATGTGAGTTAAAATTAAAAAATCCTATTAAAGGTAGTTTTTTTAATGAGAAGACAAAGCAACTCAAGGACTGCACTTACTAGTGGATTACATGAAATAGTGTTCTATCACTTGTCTGAGAGTCACAGCTCTTTCTTTAGGAATATATATGGAATCATAGCAAATCTTTTTGAATATTTCTCCTTTGCCCTCTAGGAGTCATTGTGTAAGAAGATGCTGTGGAGTGGTTGATAACTCACCAAAATAACATTAACAGCTCTTACAGGGTATGCAAAAGCCGTAAAGAGTACGCTTTATACTATAGATCACACTCAAGGACAACTGACTTTTATGCTCTTTGTTTGACTGGCTTAAAAAAAGCACCTTAATTGTCCAATAGGCGAATCCAGGAACGGGATAAACAGCGGCTTGATCGAGTACAACCAGAGGAAGAACTTCGGTGGCAAAAAAAAATTCAGGAAGACGACAAACAAAAAAGGGAAGAAATAACCAAGAAGAAGGAAAGTGAGGATAAGGGGAAACAGGAAATGCAAGAGAAGCTAAGTAAGCTTTTCCAACCACATCAAGAGCCAGTCAAGCCGGCTGTCCAGGCCCCTTGGTCAAATGCAGGTAGAGTAAGAAATCAAGAAATGCTGTTACATGTGCCCCTTGAACAACTCTTTTCTATTTTGTCTTCCCATTTACTACAGAAGAATATTTAATCCCCAAGATTCAAGTTTCAGGATTGCATTGCTAGTCTTAGTGAAGTAAAACATGTGTGAACTGAGCTCTAGGCTCCAAAATATTGTTCTTTTAGGCTTCAGTGTTCTTCCCAAAAGCATGATGTTTAAGCAGAGTGTAAAGCATGGTTGCTGAGACTCCCAGTGCCAACTGAAGAGAAGACCTTGGCTGTAAGTTGAAGAATCTTGACGCAAGATGTCAAAAATTATTTCTGTACTTTTCTTTACAATTCTTATTTCGGTGTGGAATATATGCCTTGGGATGTTTTAAAGTAATAGCAGTATGCCATTTATTTACCCTTCCCCATGCATGTTGTTTACTGAATAAGTGACCTGAGGTCTTAAGATTTAACCCCCTTTTTCCTGCTACAGACACGATCACTTTCAACTAAGAGCTTTTCCTCTGCATTATAACCTGATTTTTGCCTGTATTGTGAATCGTGGTTCCCTCTTAAGTGGCTTTGATAGATACACAAGAGAACTGATGGAGAATGTAATAGTCGTTTAAAAGTTTGATCAAAGGATTGCATAAAGGAGAAATTACCTTCTACCCTTTAGCCCAAATCTACAATTGACTTAATCTAATACATGCTCTTGCTGGGTTTTATTTGTGCAGAGAGCACTATTAAAATCGAATAGGCAAAATAGGAAATGCATTTTACAAGAGCAATTTAGCTTTTATCTTTTGAGATTTTCTGTATCCTTCTTTTTCTAGTAATGCAGTTTTAACATGCAATTTTTTTAAAACATCATATGTGAGTGACTTCTTTTCAGCCAATATGGATGTATTAGGACATTTCGAAACATTTTTCTTGGAGGTTTAGTCAGGCTGCAAATTAAGCTGCTACACAAGCAGGCTTTAAAAGTATTTGGGATACCCTTGATATATGCAAGAACATCACTGTTTGAATTGAACTTCATGACTGATCAGATTTAACCTTCAAAATCATTGAAGCATTAGAGAAGTCACGTATGTTGCATCCTAAGCACACGATTCTTTGTTGAAAAAACTTAAATATATCATGAAAGTTGAAATCCAGTAATATTTTAGCTGATCTTTAGAAAGGAAAAATAGTAAGAAAATTGTATTTTAAATAATTTATTGTCATATTTCCCCTTGTGTGAAAGGGGGATTATATACTTCCTACAGACAAGGTCAGGTTTGTTAATTTTTGTCTCCACTTTCAGCTCATTTTTCAAATATTTATAAATAATATGTATTGATTATTTTTTTCTGCTTTGTATCTATGTGTTTTTTTCCTCTGCTCAGAAAAAGCTCCTCTAACCATTTCTGCTCAGGAGGATGTAAAAATAGTGTACTATAGAGCTCTGTATCCTTTTGAATCAAGAAGCCACGATGAAATCACTATTCAGCCTGGTGACATAGTCATGGTAAGAAGGGATTGTGATATTACTTGAAAAAATTACTTCGGCTTTGGCACTTGTGTGACTGAAAAAGTATGTGGCAGGATTTTTGAAGAGAAAAATATTTTGGTGAATATCAAAATGGTGAGTTAGGACATAGTAACCCTATTACAATAACGGATAGATTCCTACAGTTCATTTTAAGTGTTAAGTTTAAACATAATCTATGAGTAGATCATATCAGGTGTGGTGTGCTGGGCTCTGTGTGTCTGTCAATGCGTTAAAAAGGATTCTTATAGAGGTTATCTCAGTGAGACATTTCTTGTCCTCCCGGGGTACGTAGGTAGTAAAGTTACTGTTACTTTCTGTTGAGAGAGTGGCTATTGTGTGTGGAATCAAAAATGAGCTTTGATAAAGAAAGGATGCTTCTAATAGGAAATGTCCATTTTTATAAGAGCTGTACAAAAGCCATGTAAAATTTTTAATTTGGAAAATCACCTTTGTAAAGGGAATGTGATGTCTAGTGTAATATTATGTGAAGCAATTACATTAAACTGTAAGATGGCTATGCTTCTGTCATGATCACGTAAATATTAAAATAGTTTTAGTGTGGTGGTGATACTTCTTCAGTAATACTGGAAAATTTTTATACATATCTTTCGGTGACAGCTTTTGACATAGTGATCTAGTAAAACTACTTGGAGTTGTTTGTGTGGTAATTTACTCTTTTTTAATCTCCGTAACACTTTTGGGAGATATTTTTACATTTATTTTCAAGAGGATGTATACAGTAGATAAAATGTCATTTCTGAAAAAATGGAAAGTTCAAAACCTAAACATTTGATTGCAGATGTGTTGATACAGAATGATTTTCTTTCATTTTTTTTTAACTACATGGTGAGATACAGGGATATGGTCAGCCTGTAACTGTTGTGTTAAACTCTAAAGCAGTATTCTGCTTTTGTCTCTAATTATCTCTAAAATTATGGTTCTATTGTTAATGGGTAGAGTTATTAAATATGCATATTATTACATTACTAGTATGATCTTAACATGCATGTCTGTTCATAACAAAAATTCTTACTGTGACTGTTAAATGATGCCCTGTTTGCTGTGGGAACACGTGTCCTACCCAGCAAAATAGATTGTAAGAGCTATTACGCTTCGACACAGTTTAGTAAGAATGGATTTTGTTAAAAATACACTTAATAAACTCTCCTAAGCTGTAATGGGAACCATTTTTTAAAAACCACATATTCTGGGGAGATGAGCCTTCGTCTCTCAGCCTGTTTGGTTTGTTCGTTTTTATTAATTCAGACGTGTTGCACTGAAGCGTTTGTGACATTAGAATCTGCTTTTGGAAAATAAAAGGCAAAACTTGGATTAGTAGCGCTACCAAATGTCTCAGGAAGAGGTCCAATGCTGTTCTGCAATGCAATGTGTCATTATTCTGCATCAAGAAATAGTATTGGTCAGTGAGCTGTTAAAAGAGAGAGGATACACGTGTATAGGTCTCCTTAGGCTATGGGAAAATGCTGTGTTGTCTTGCTTTCTTGGGAAGTAGATTGCAGCCTAGGCATATAAATAAACTTTTTTTTTCCTTGAGGAAGAGCAATCACTATTAGGGAGACTTGCAGGAAAATAACATTTTTGCCAAAAATGCATGATTTTAAGGAGCACTTCATGTGTTGTAAATAGAGACTTAGAGATAATCTGAGTCTTTCTATTTGTTACTTTTGGAGTTTGTTTTAACTTACTCTGCAAAAGTAGGCTAACTTCTCTCAGTTTTATTTAACTTCCTTTTAACAATAATTAAACCTGATGACTGATTCTTGTGGGATTTATATCCCTCTCTGTAGTAGTTGCTTAAATGGGCTGCTCTTAGAAAAGTGAATATAAGACACTTTTGTGAAATGTGTTATAATTCTGCCTTGCTTTAAATCATTGCTTTCCTGATGGAGGTTAAAAGGGAATGGGTAAGTGTGCTATATGACTGTTAGGAAGTCTATGCAGTTTATTCATTTTCATAAATACGGATTTTGTAACCATGTAGTTTAGAGTGATTCTGTGATTCTGTGATACTTGGTTTTTTATTCACCTAGGATAAAATTAACAAACCAGCTGACATTGTCAAAAGTAATTGAAGTGCAATGGACCAGAACTTACTTTTGATAATGGGCATTTGGTCTTGTAGACTCTTCTCTGTCCTTAAGTGTTTGTTTTGTCCTGTGATTCTGAAAGGTTCAAGTCAGTTATGTTTTTTGGAAAATAATAATTTACAAGCTTACATGTTAAAGTGTGTCTAATTTATGACATAAGTGCAACTCTGTAGTTAAGCTAACCTATACAGTTTGGAGTTTACTGTGTGCAATAAAATAAGTATTGCTTAGAATAATGGTGTTCTAACATGGGCAAATTTAGCATTTCACCATTTTAGCACTTGTAAATAGTTTTGTCCTGTAATCATGTAGCTGTACAGAAGATGCCACCCAAACCGTGACTGCCATGAACAAAGAATCCAGCAGAAGCCCTGATCCATTGACTGCACATGTGGGAACCAGGCCTAAGTCCTGGATGCAGATAGGACTGCAGAATTCATTATGTCAGAATGACTTGTGACTTTAATAGATGTATAGCTTGTAAATAGTTCCTGCAACAGTGTAATGGCACTTTTGCACTGCGCCTGAGTCCTGAGACCTCTCTTGGTGGAAATGAGGGGAAAGGATGAGGGTTGGGTCTGAAAGGAAACGTATTTGCAAACTTGCAAATTTAAGGAGGGCCTTCTTCTGCCAACTTTGCAGTGCATGACAGTGATCGGTAGCACTGATGTATCTCATGTAGTAGGAGTTTAGCGAATGTGTGGGGCGTGGGGTGTTTTTTAAAAAAGTTGTTCCACTTTTTAATTACAGTATTTTTCTCTTGGATTTATGCATTCCCTGTTTCTTAGCTTTCTATGCCCTTTAAATTTCTTTCACTGTAAACTAGATTGATTTATAATCCCAACTATAACTTAACCAAGCTTTTTATGTGGGAAAAAATATTATTCAAGGTCAGGCTTGATGGAGCTCAGAGCAACCTGATCTAGTTAAAGCTGTCCCTGCTCACTGCAGGGAGGTTGGACTAGATGACCTTGAAAGGTCCCTTCCAACCCAACACATTCCATGATTCTATGAAATATTCTGAGCCAAGAAAGCCATGCCTCTTTCGGGGCTCTATTCAAGAAGTTAAGTTTCTATTATGTACATGAATATATGTATACAATGTATGGAATTCTTCTCCTTTGGATAGCTCTCTTACAAAGCAAGTCCTGCTGGCATTTGGTGCTGTTAGACTCCAGCTTGAAGTAAATGAATGGATTCTGTTGTTGTTGATGATGTTTTATCTAATAAGTTTATTTGAATAAACTTAAGCATAATTCAATGAAATTCAGGTGAATTGTTGAATTAGTGATCTGTAGTGGCTCTAATACAGCAGGAGAACATAGGTTAAACAGGAGCTTCATGTAGAAGCTTCCATGGAAAGCCTGAAACAAATTCATAATGATAGTTTCTCATCCCTTTTGTTAGCTATTGATTGTGAGAGTTTGAATGAATGTTCTTTGTATTCGACACATAAACAGCCTTGTGTTAGATGCTGTGTAGGCATAAGCGGCGTATGGCCTCTGGCCTGCAGAGCTTATATTCAACATTATAACAGGAATTCCAGTAGTCTCAAAATATCTGGATCAAAAGCCTGCAAGTTGACTAGAGATGGAATGGTCATCTAATGGATAGATAGTTGAACAAAACAGATGGTGGCACTCTGTTTAGCTTTGATTAAGTACTTTTTGTGAGAGTATTAGGGTTTATCTTCATATGTAGAGTGAGTATCTACCATACAACAGAGCTTCTCTTTTTGTGTGCATGCACTGTTGGTGGGACACCAGCCAGGTCACAGTGGTGTAGGACCCTGCAAAGCCAGCCCTGCTGCTCACAGAGATACTGACCCAACCAACTGCTTTTGCCTCTAAGAGTTGTGTTGCTCTTACTCCTGTCAGTGTGTTCAGTCGCTGAAACTAAGTAGCTGTAAGCCATGGCTGTAAAGAACGGTGCAATAAGTAAAACATAAAGCCACACACAATCGAACTTGCTGTTCAGCTGTACATTTAAATTCTACCTGTATTTTGGTTTAAGTAGTCTGGGATAATTTGTCCTAAAGACTTGGGGATGGTGAGTGTAAAAGTATAAGGAAATCGGAACAAATGAATTAAAAAAGAGTGCAAAGGACTTTGTTTAAAGTGCCAGTACTGTACTACAAAAGCAGATGCAAATTACATTTTACATGAATAACTGGGAAACCGGATTTTTAAATGAAATATAGAGTTTAAATTGTCCTTCAAAGTGCCTTTTAATGAGTATACATAGAAAATTTAATTGAATTGAAAAAGAATTGGATTTGACTATCCTAATGGGCTGGTTTTTATGATTTATTTTAACTTAAAACTATCTTCTAAGGAGACATTAAGGCAGTTGATTTTAAGCCCCTTTGATACCTTTTTCCTCTGCTTTTACAAACATTTCTTGTGAAAAATTGCAGTGTTTTTTGTGTGACTGCAATTCATTTCAAAGATGCCCTCTTTCAAACATCACCATAAGAGATTTTTGGCTTTTCAGTCCCGATGCCTTTGTATGATAGTGATTCTAGTTACTACCTGACCAATGGAAGCAGAGTAGAAGCTGTGTGACTATTATTACTTTTTAGATTATTCAACTTGGCATCAGGCTCTGATAATCCATTTCTCCCTCTCTGTCCCAAGATTCACCCTCTGCTGTGACCTTCCATCACTCACATTGCTGCTTTAACAATCCCCTTCAGTGCTGCAGTGGAAATTTTGCTTGACACTGCAGTAAAACCACATTGAACCGGTCAAGCATGTAGTCCATTTATTTCTTGGTTTGCTTTGAGTTAATAGGGACTGAGACAGGAGATGGACCCAACAAAAAGCAGAAAGAATGGATATTTTTGCACCAAAAAGAGGGGTGCGGGGTACAAGTGACAATAGGAGGCAGTCAGAGAGTCAACAGCTGGCCCAAGGCAAAGCCATCGATCAGCATCAAGAAGGAGCAGTTCAGTGACTGTCAGAGACAGAAGCTTTTCTGCTTTGGGGTTCAATCACTTCTAGGCAAAAGGATGGTCTCATTTTTGGTCTAGAGCAACTAGCTTGCCCCATTGCCGTTAAGAAATTTTTTTGCACTAGTTTCTTTTTTTTTTCTCCAAACAAGCAGCTGATGGGGTTCTATTTCGTTAAAATCAACAGAGTGAATTTGTGTGTTTTCAACTGTAGAAGAATCTAGCTCAAGATGCTACTGTATGCTATTTTGACTCCGTTGACCAAAAAGGATACTATTTCTTATTCATTAGCTCATAAAGCATTCTGTTATCAACAAATCTCTCACAATGATAATGGATTTTTAGGAACTGGTGTCTGACTATTTAGAAGTACAAATATAAGCATCTCTGACTACTGTACTGTTACCTGCCACAGTCAGCTCTTGAGTTACGCTGTCATTTGAAACTCCTCTATGTATTTCAAAATGCTGCTTGCCACTGGCAGAAAGAGATGAGAGAAATTCTTTCCAAAACCAGCTGCTCTGTAGGGCTGTCATCTATCTGAATTTCATTACTCGCCTGAGGTTTTTTTCCATTCCAGGGAATCTGCCACTATGCACAGCAGACTGTTGTACAAAGTAGGTGTTAGTTACATGCCAAAGGTGCAAACCCTAGTCATATGTAAGGCTTTGCTTGAAAACTGAGCTTCTGTTGACCTGTCAAAGAGATTAGACAGCTAGAACACCGAACTTACCAAAATTATTACCAAATACGGTTATTACCTTTTTTCTTCTAGAAAGCTTCTGCATCTGACATTGCCTTGGAGGTCTTTAGCCACCGTATCAATTCACCCCGGGGCAGCAATACCGAATTACTTTTCTTTGATTCTTGCGGCATGTGTTTGCTGCAGCTCACAATTTCCAGTGACCCCTTTTGGTGAAATAGCAGATTAGGACAGCAGTCCATCAGTAGGGCTTGGAGAACAAATGTGTGAAATATTAATAAAAGTTAACAGGAAAGTGCCAACCTTGCAAAACCATAGCTTGACGTGATTATAATAATCAATAAGTAGGAATTAAAATACAGCTGTAAAAATAGCCCTGTTTCATCCTGTTCTTCATGGCTTGCCAAAGGTAGCAGAGTGAGAGGAGAGAAGAGAGGCTGGAAAATTTATGTATGAAAACTTACTGTGGAATTGTTTTGTATGAATACGTTAACCAATCTGTGGATTTGTTTTGAATTGTTTGGTGGCTGTTGTTTTTAATATGCTGTGGTTTTTTGTTGTATTTTCTGAAAGAGAATATCTGGGAAAACTTCTTAAAAACTGCATTTTGTGTTAGAATATCGGTATTTAAGGCATTTCTCTAGAAGTAATTTCTCCCAAGTCTGCTGTACGGTGACAGACTTTCAAGCAACTGTTTCAAAGCCCCTCGTTGTCCTGTGCATTAGAACTGAAAAAATTTTTACCTCATCACTAAGAAATCCTTTTGATTTTGGCTTGCGGGCTGGGGAGAAATTAAAAAAAAAAAAGAATAGCAAAGCAATATTGCCTTACAAAGTGTTTCTTTATCTATTAAAACACCACAGAAGGAACAGCTGTCAACATGATCTTCTAAATATAAATTAAATAACAACAACAAAATTCTACCTAGGTGGAACTTGTGTTTGTAACGAAGGTGTCATGTCTCTGTAACTAGAGAAAGTTAGTTATTGTGGGTGAGATGGGTTGTTTTAAGTAAAAAAGTCATTTATGTGTTATGTTTCTTAACTTTCTAACTTAATGCATCTACAGGTGGATGAAAGCCAGACTGGAGAACCAGGGTGGCTTGGTGGTGAACTGAAGGGGAAAACTGGATGGTTCCCTGCAAACTATGCAGAGAAAATACCTGAAAACGAAGTTCCAGCTTCTGTAAAGCCAACAGTTGAGGTGGCTGCTGCACCTAAAGTTTCTGTGCAAGAAACAGCTACATCGCTAGGAACTCCTGCCTCTACAGAGAGTTCTACAACTGCCAATAACTGGGCAGACTTCAGTTCAACGTATGTTTGGGTAGTGATTATCACTGTAAATCGGTAGAGTCTTTTTTTTAATTTATTTGACTATGGTGGCAGTTAACACAGAGTATTGAGTTTCCGAAATGAAAGTTGCTTGTCTGAAGGAAAATATTTTTTTCCATAGCAAACAGTTAAAATTGCAGCCTTGTGGAACTTTAGCCCTGCTCCCACCCTACCTACCTGGGCAGTGCAGATGGACACGTCACAAACAGAAGATTTTCCTAAGTGAGGATGGTGACATGGTGGAAATCCCAAGGTGTTCACCTTCCTTCTCTTAAATTAGTTGATACCAATCCTCATGGAAGATTTCCAGTCTGGATTATGCAAAATACGATTATGACAGAGTTAACATGAAAAGACATTTTATTAATTCTTTATCACAACATAAGACTGATGCAAGTAGAACGTGTGACCTTCCCTAGATGTCATGTTAATTTAATACTCTGTGCAGTGTTACAAACCCTAGGTAAATGGGGTTGGGTAAGTAAGTCTTATCTTCTGATCGTGTAGTACATACTTCTAAATTAAAATCTAAGTATCGTAGTGCAATACTACAATACGTATGTCCTACTTAATTTTTTTCATCAAATAGGTTGTAGTAGCTTTTCCAGTTTTTTGTACTCTGCCTGTTTTACAACAAACAGCCATTTTTGTGAGGAGAGAGGAAAAGACTAAAAGTAAGTCCCAGAGAATTTATAGTAAAAATACTGTCCTCAATGTGATATAGGTGTTAGAGGTGATTGTGGCCTTTGGATACTATTACAACCTAAGTGGGCAACTATTGCTTATTTCAACTACTAGCACAAGTAACAGGCAAAGGAAACTTATTTTTAAGATCAATGCTTTGTTTACACGCTGAGAGTTCAGGAAATTTTGTTAGTTTAAGTGGGTATTTGGAGGCAGAGGTGTGGATTATGGGATTTAATAGGCATTTAAAGGACAACAGATAAAGAGGATAAGAGGTTGTTGAAAAAAGTCAGTTTTAAGCAAAAGACAAAAGGTAAAGGTTTGAATGAGAAGCAGCAAAACTATGTGTAAGGGGAAGAGATACATACAGGTGTGAGGATTTCAAACCGATTTAAAGAGAAGAATGATTATTTTTTTCAAGTTACCTCTTTCCAGTGTGTATAATATAGACTGCATTTCTTGAACTTCCATTGTATTGGGGAACAGCTAAGAAATTAAATTAAAGTACAGGGAGGACTGGCCTTAAGTAGCAAGGACAGGCAACTGTATTTAGAGATCGCCTTTTTAAGATAATTCAGTGTTAGTCTATGTTTGGTTGTGCTACTGCTACTAAGAATTACGATGCTCATGGAGTATTCCGTTAAAAGAGATTAACCTAGAATGTAGAAAATTTTTTTCTGAGCAATCTTCCTGCATGAATGCTGTTCTTCAGTTGAAAATGGTGGAAATTGCATCGTTCTCTTTTTTTCAGATGGCCAACAAACACTAGTGAGAAACCAGAGACCGATAACTGGGATGCCTGGGCAGCTCAGCCGTCTTTGACTGTTCCCAGTGCAGGGCAGCTGCGACAGCGATCAGCTTTCACTCCTGCCACTGTTACAGGATCATCTCCCTCTCCTGTCTTGGGCCAGGTGAGCACCTCTCTTCATTCAAACATTTGGGAAAAACATTAGGGAAGCAAAGTATGAACAGTGAGCATCCACTGAAATAGTCCCGTGAGATAAGTGAGCTCTTTTGGTGGTGAACTGGTAGCATACATCCATTCGTGAAATCTGTGGTGGAATTTAACACGAGGCGGTTTTTGTTCCATGCTGGCTTTTTTTAGACTGGTGGTCTGGTCTTAATGTGTTGGCAGGATGCCAGTTTTGGGTCACTTCCTTGGAGCTTTTCTGAATCACGTGGCAATAACCTTCACTGCAAAGTGGATTATGTAGTTAAGTGGAATAGCAGTGCCAAAGCTTCACATCAGTTGAATTCCGTCCATCTGTTAAGGCATTTCCTTTTCCTCAGCTGAACAACATACTGTTCTTGTAAGCTAATGTGTTCTGAAAAATGCTAAATAACTTAGTATCTTAGAGAAAAATAAAAGAAGTTAGAATGTACGATGAATAACTTGCAGCGAAGCACCTGCCAGAATAACTTCAAGAAGGTTTATTATATGTATATCTTAATTGTAATACTTAACTCGTTAAGCAAAACCTCTGATAATCTTGTACTGATTATGTGCTAACAGATAGAAATGAAGGATGGCTCTAAACGTTTCCTATATTACTTTGTAAGTTTAGTTGACTTACTTTGCTTTATACAGTTGAGAGAGAGCCTATGTTTTTTGTTGCTACATAATTAACATAAGAATATCATTCCTTCTGCAGTTTTCTTTATGAAAGGTGGTGCATGCCTGACCTCTCTTTTTTTTTTTTTTTTAAATTGCATTAGGGTGAAAAAGTGGAGGGACTTCAAGCACAGGCTTTGTATCCATGGAGGGCAAAAAAAGACAACCACCTTAATTTCAACAAAAATGATATCATCACAGTTTTGGAGCAGCAAGATATGTGGTGGTTTGGAGAGGTTCAAGGACAAAAGGGGTGGTTTCCTAAATCATACGTGAAGCTTATTTCAGGCCCCATTAGGAAGTCAACGAGGTATTTTATTTGCATTTACCGTACTTTATTTTTATACTGTAATAGTTAAATAAATATGAAGAGTTGCACACTTGAATTTTAAAGGTTAGAATCTACTCCGTAAAAATACTTTTTTTTATATGACATTTTTCTGGAGGAGGTTGACTTTCAGCCCTGGAAATTCATGTGAGGAATGAGAAAACTGACCTCAGTTCTCCTTGGGTCATACATCACAAACAAAAGATCTAAAGCTTAGTGCACCTTCTTGATTTTATGTGACTTGCAACTAAAAAGTTAACATATTGGATTTTTTGCATTACAGCTATGTAAGTCATTGCTTATCTTTTCCCAAAATAAAGCATACCTCAAAATTTAATCAGTTATCATTACTCTTGGAGGATAAATCAGTATTGCCTATGTGAAGACAACATTGGTTCATTTGTAATAGAAATGAAAATGTTTTTTCTGAGGGAGGACATGCAGAAACTTGTGTATTTAAAGCAGTTACCTAAATGTAACCGTGACCAGCCATTGTACTTAAAAGCTTTAATTTGCACATTTATTATCTCTTCTTTTAAAATTTAGGGAGTTGCCTATGGGTGCATATACTTTTTTCTGTTGTTCTAAAATATAATAATAGTAATTTTTCTGAAGAGATTAAATTTCTTATATAACCATTATTTTCTTCTAAAGCATGGATTCTGGTTCCTCGGAAAGCCCTGCTAGTCTGAAAAGAGTAGCATCACCAGCAACAAAGGCAACTATGTCGGGTGAAGGTAAGCATTTCAAACAGCATGGCATTAATAGTATTTTGCTCTGTAATTAAATAGTATAAGTCTGCTTATTACCAGAAACAAGCTTAGAGTCACATCTTGATGTTTTAAGATCAGGCCTGTTAAAATTGAAGTGCAAATCAGTTTGCCTCTAGAATGATTTAAAAGTATTACAGGAAGGATTTTTACATGAAGTGTATGTAGAACAAATAATTTCACGTGCTGTTGAAATATCTTCTGTGGTTTGGACTGTTTCTTGGATGAATATTTTGGTAACAATTTCCAATCTAAACGGGTTTCTGCAGAGGGCCAGATAAGCACTTCTAAACAAGTACTTCATGTACAGGAAATATTAATAAATGCCTCCATTTCACCCAAAGCTCCTTTCCAATGTTTCATTAAAGCCCTTAATTAAAGAAATGAGGATCAGTTATAGAACTTCATTTTAAAAGACAGAGCCTGGGGCACAGGCAGGTAATTGTCAGGCCTCTGCAGGGTTTTAAGACTTGCATTCCCGGCTGTTGCCAACCTTCAGCTCCAGGTTCGTGTCTCCCCACCTGTGTTAACAGCTGGTGTGGGCACCCGTAATCCACTTCAGTGCAGGGTCATCTAGGTTAATTTAAATCACAGTCAGTGTAAATCAATTAATCTAAATATAGATTACCAATGAACATTTGTGTATAATCTCTACAGCACACCTCAAGCTTTTTAACCACAGTTTTTAAGTCAAAGAGTCTCAGAGGTTGCTGGTGTATTTAATTTGCCACTGGCATGAGCACAATAGAAATTAGAAGAAGGGAATGGTAAAGATCCGTGTAACAGGGAAAGTAAGATAATCACTTATTTCAAAATACAACTAGACTTGCTCCACTATACATTTGAGGAAAAGCAATGTTAGAAACACGGCGTCTTTTTTGTAACGTTTGGGGTATCTTAGGTTATATATTTGTGTTAAAACATCACAACTTTTTAATAAAACATTTCAAAAAAAAAAGCTGTATTTTTAAGAAATAAACCCCTATGAATTTAGCATCTTCTATTATTACATTTAAAGAATTTAGGAAAAAAAACATGTGTATAGCATACTTGATGATTTTTAATGTGTGTTTTCATGTGTACGTGCATATGAATGGATGTGTGTGTTTTACAGCTGCAGTTAGGCAAACCATGTCTTGGCTATCATTAAGGATAGTAATTGTGGTTTGAATTCTTGCTGAACTTCCTTGAGCAAAGCTTTTTGGTCAGATATAGCATTCAAGCAAATAGGACAGTTGCCAGCTGTAGTGGCCTGCCCTAGAGGATCCTGCTCTGGCAGGGGGGTTGGACTAGATGATCTCTAGAGGTCCCTTCCAACCTCAAACGTTCTATGATTCTATGAATACATGAACGTTTTTGTTACATGTGCTTGAAAATCTTCCTGAAATATACTGTGAACTGCTCTAGGTCTAGAGCTGGTCCTAGGAACAGAGGATATAATCTTGAGAAATATGTTTGGTGCCCATATAAAGGGTGATAATGCTCAGTTGGGTAAGAATGTATCAAGTTGTATAGAAAATGTTACTGAATTGTCCAGAGTTATTTGTAATAATTTATGTAAAAAATGTTCATGTAGTTCTGTGATTGAATGATACAATGCGTTTCTGAACATCAGTCTAGTGTTTTTGCACTTGAATACTAAGTAGTTGACTGCATTTTAACAAAACAGAACACATCCAGGCTTTGTCTTAACATTTCCCAGCCATCTGTTGCATAAGATGCAGCGAGATGTGCGCCCTTCATGCAAAGCTTCAAGCAATGAAAGAGTTCATTGTATATGAGAACCGAACAGCATATGTGAGATGAAGACTGCATCTACAGATATTTGGATACTGAGGCTTTCCATCTCCAAGTCTATATTCTAGTCATCAGTACAAAATGGAAAACATTGGGAAACATGTTTTCAAAGTAGTTTGTGATATGTAGTAATAGCTTCTGTACATTTTAATTATACTAGCAAATTATTTTACCAAAAAAAGTCCCTCAGAATCAGCCTTTTGATAGATTGTGTTTAGTTCTGATAGATTTTATGCAGCAAATAATGAAGTGAATAATAATTAAATATTTGTCTTCTCTCTGGTCCATGGACAGACTACATTATATTAGTTAGGTTTTGCAAAGTATAATTGAGCAGTTTATGAAGTGTTTTCCCATATTCTATATTTATTTCCCTCTTACAGAGTATATTGCTATGTATACTTATGAGAGTTCTGAACAAGGAGACCTAACTTTCCAACAAGGTGATATGATTCTTGTGACAAAGAAAGATGGCGACTGGTGGACAGGAACACTGGGTGATAAATCAGGAGTTTTCCCATCTAATTATGTGAGACTCAAAGATTCTGAGGTAGAGACATACTGAAATGTTGACGTATTGAGCTGGGGGAGGTATGTTTTATTTGGTGTTATGGTGATAGTTGCAAATCAGTGGATCATGAGGAAAGGAAACATATTTTGCACTTTTACTGATTGTAACATTGGAAAGGGAAAAAAATAGTTACATTTTACAACATAATGTAAATAACTTCGTGGATCATATTTAAAATGAGTCTTGCATATGTTAAATATTAATTTGACAGTTTTGCAGACACATGTCATAATAGCTATGACTGCTTTGTTCCCCAGGTAAGTGTTGAAGTTGTATCTTATGGCCATTACTTTTTTTTAATAGATAAAGAGTAATATTTCAGTCTCTTTCCCCCCTTACCCCGTTGTCATGTCCTTGCAATCAAGGGGAACAACTTTCACAACACAACTTAGCTGACTACTATATTTGAAGGTTCTTGGCTGAACACAGGATTTGAGGTGTGCCCTCACCAGTGCCGAGTACAGGGGCAAGATCCCTTCCTTGGCCCTGCTGGCCACGCTGCTCCTGGTACAGAATGCTCATATGTTCTAAGTGAGCACAGGTATGGTCCTACTTGCCACACTTTGGCTGCCACTGTCTGTCATCTGACCCTTTAATGAACCAATTCAGGACATTAGGCAGAGCAGAAAACTAGTCTAGCTGAAGTGATGCATATTTCTATTTCTCTGAATCACCACAGCAAGGGTTGGAAAAATGTCAGTACCGGAATGACTATGGGAGGAAAGTAGTGAAGGAGACAAGATTGCCTCAGCATCGAGTTAGATTAGCTTGAGCTGGTTTTGGACTGTGTTCTTAGCTGGTTTTGGTGTTACAGACTTCATTCTGGAAGCAAAACTTTATACCTTACATGTAGTATGTGGTTTTGGATATGCCTGTGCTCAACTCCTACCTTTCAGCTGCATCAAATCTAGTGACAGTGGAGCAACAGATGTTAGATCAGGTCCCAGACCAGAACAGGATTACTTAATAGTTCAGTTAGTGGCAGCATTGTAGCTGTAGCACTATGGAGCACATCACAGCAGGCTGGCTTGTCTTTTTGACAGTTGGAGTAAATTTTGTAAGTAAGCTGTGGTGTTAGGCAGGGCATAGGTTTATCCTGACAACAGAGGTCAGTGAGAGCCTGGAAGAGAAACTCTGAACTCTCTGTCCCCAAGTCTGGCAGCCTGAGTGGTGCAACACCACTTCAGCTGTGGCAGTGGTGGTGTTTGTGGGTCTGTGTCAGGGAATTTATTTGTTTAAGAAGAACACTCCTTTTTGCAGTCAAGGATGTGGATTGTAGTTCAGCCCTGCCAGTAATACTTCACATACATCAAAAAGATGACGGTTTGCACCATGGAGGCATAGGAACAAGCGTTCCTATTAACTGACCTCTGGAGTATCTTCTATTCAGGAGTAGGAACTTGCACTGTCAGCCTCCTAAAACAACGTAAGTCAGACCTGTCGCATAGGTAGATAGTAATAGTTGCTAATGAGCTACTTAACCTCAGCTACTTTCTTGTTTGTTAATATTTTCTTTTGAACTCCTATGAAGGAACTGGTTTTGCTTTCCATTAAGATATTCTCAACAGAGTTTAGTCTCAAAATGTGGGAATTAATATTCAGATGCACAGAGCTGCCTTTTGTATGCCTTTAAGTACTGGGTGCTTGTGCTGTTTGGTCAGAGACAGGCACACATATTGGCAAATTTTCATAGAGAACTCAGAAATAGACATTTAATACTGAAAGCTATTTTTATTGGAGAGGTCAATTTGCTCTTCTTTTCATCTCAACTTCTCTGGGGCTGAAACAGCTAAATGCAGTTCATGAAAAAGGGCTCCAACTGCCCTTTTTGCTGGTGAAAATCACATGTTCAGATAAAATCTTGAGAGAGAGGGAGGAAAAAGCACAGAGCTCATGGAGATCTTGATATCTGGGATGCTTATTTTCATAAAGTGATTCATACTCCCTGCAGGACATAGTTCTTGTTCCAAGTGGATAATTGCCATTACACGTACAGTGTTTTGCTATTCAGCTTGTTCACAGCGACAGTTTTTTACAAAGGATTTCACAATAGTGGCTGTCTGTTAACTTTCAGATGTGCCGCTGTGCTTGGACAGCTGGCTGATTGTGGAAAATGTTACTGAAAGAGTAAATTAATTTAATGCATTCGGCACTATTGACTTAGGCCTAAAGAAGAAGTAAGACAGTGCTGATCTTTCAGCAGCAAAGCACAGAGTTTGCAGAAATGGTTGTAAGCCTCAAAATATCGATGGTTTATACATCAGAAGAAATTTTTTCACATCTGTTCTTCTGTACCTATTCCCAGGCTACCCATTCATCTCAAGTTGCTAAATTAAACTATCTTCTGTTCATTAAAGCTTCAACTTACTAATGGAGTGAAGTCTTTGTTCTTCAGATATACAGCAACACTGGTTTATAGTCCATTCTCAGACTGTTCATTAAATTATGGTAGATGGATACAGATTTGTAACAGGTTTTTATTCTACTCTGTCATTCTTGAGACTGGTGATAATTACCACTGCATAAGATATGGAGCTCATGCAGTGGACTTGGAAACACAAAAATTTAGATGCCTCTAGTTACAAAACTTTGCATAAACATTCTGCAAATAATAAGTCTGAATGTATTTAATCTGGATTCTATGGGTCATATGGTACAACACAAGTGACAAGTCTACTGCTGTGTCTGTTGTACCATTTCAAGAGACATTATCCCTTTCATAAAATATCCTTAAATGCACTTAGTGTCTCAGCTATGCAAAAGGGAAATAGGATGGGGTCTGTCCTCTGGTATGTTTCTCTCAAAAGGAAGAATAGAAAAAATACTTCTCCATCTATTGAGTGGGCCAGAAGTTGTGTCCATCTTAAATGCATTGTCTATTAATTTAGTTATTTATTGAAGTGTCACAGGACTTTTCTATGTATTTCTTCTATTTTATTACCAAGGATTCATAGAATCCTCAAAAGAGAATTCAGACTCAGTCGGTTCAAGGTGATTGGAGAAGAGGAGGCTGAGGGGTGACCTCATAAATGTTTATAAATATATCAAGGGGGAGTGTCAGAAGGATGGAGCCAGGCTCTTTTCAGTGATGTCCAATGACAGGGCAAGGGACAATGGCACAAGCTGGAACACATAGGAGGTTCCACAAAAATATTAGGAAAAACTTTTTCACTGTGAGGGTGACAGAGCCCTGGCACAGGCTGCCCAGGGAGGTTGTGGAGTCTCCTTCTCTGGAGACTTTCAAAACCCACCTGGACGTGTTCCTGTGTGACCTCCTGTAGGTGATTCTGCTCTGGCAGGGGGTTTGGACTAGATGATCTTTTGAGGTCCCTTCCCACCCCTGACATTCTGTGATTCTGTGATTCTCTCTTAAAATAATCTCTATATGTTTGGCACTTAACTGTAGAGATGCAGTGTCATAGCTCGGTGTACCTGTCCATGTGCTCATAATCTGGTAAAATGGATGCTGACTAAGTGATATTTTGAAGGAGTGTGTTCTCTGAAGGTCCAAACACTTGTTCTTTATTGAAGAGGGAGGAGAGTATTTCTCTTCCAAAAACACTTTTCAAAGCAGACTTAAGTCCTGATATTACTATATCGGTGCCAGTTGTCACCTTTGGTTCCACACCTGTTAATCTTCCCTGCTTGGGACTGTTGATGGATTCGTAGAGATGCTTTGTCTGGACCATGTTCTCGTCCCCAGACCTGAACTTAGTCTTTGTATCTGATCTCTGCATGATGCTTTCCTATTTAACTTTTTTTTGTTAATATAGGTCATGATGGTTGTATATAATCTTCAAGACAGAATGAAGATTTAGCTAATAATCTATTTTATAGAGGCATTCTAAACCAATATACATTTTTTAAATGGCCCTGTTCTCTCAGTCATTTGGCTAGTTTTTTAATTAATTTTATTAATTGCTGCCAAGTTTTTCAAAACATCGAGTTAATAGGGATAATACTGAGGATAAAACTGTTATTTTCCATAGAGGAATTAGGATTCTGTGAAAACCTTCAGATCATTTAATGTAGTCTCTGAGTTTGTAGGGAGGATCCTTAAGGAGGAGTTGAAGGGAGGTGGAAGTGCTGTGAGCCTTGCTTGAAGACAGGAGGATATTTATTTATTCAACATTTCTGACCAAGGCACAGTTTAGATTTCTTTTGTTGCTGTTATCCATACCAAACCTTCTTACTGCAGAGGAAAAGACTAGCAGTGTACTGGGAAGAAACTGAAGCAGTTGTTTAGGGCGTTGGAGGAAGCTGTTGTAGACAGAGATGGTGACTGAAAAGTTTGGAAGATGACTGAGGAAGGGAACATGCAAGGGGCAGAGTTGACACCATACACTGTTTTGAATACTCTGATTGCATGTATATCAGTAGATCTGTAGTGCATTAAAATAAATAAAGATAACTGTTCCCACTAACCAGTGGCCTCAAGGGAAACGTTTTTGTTTCATTAGTTTTTTCTGCAGGAAAAGAACTTCGAGTTGTAAATTATGAAAGCTTTTCATGTTGAATTTCCTCTCTCAGTATTGATGTTTTCCTATACTGAGCTGAACTAATTTCACTGCTTGCTAGATTTCCTGTGGCAGTTCAAAGGCTTTTCTTGCAAATCTTCTTGGCCTGGTTGATGACCATGTTCATCCCTCGTCTCACCCCATCAAGGCTCAGAGGAAATGACTGCAGATAGGCAGCACCTTGTTATTCAGCGTGCTGTGCTCTCACCTGGGAAAAACATGGTCGGGCTTTTACTACTGCAACACACAACACCTACAAAGTTCAGATGACTCTTCTTAAAGATATGGTGACTACACTGACTATGTTAATGTGCCATATGAGAAATGTTAGAATGTTGTTTTAACTCAACAAAATTCATGTTCTGTAGATTTACAATTCAAGTACTATGTAACTTGGAATTACATTGCTATTTGCTGTCCATGAAAGAAAGAAAACGTCAGGAAAGAAGTACATTTATATAGTCATCCGCTTCCGTACACTGCTTGTTATTTATTCCTATATATTAATTGCCATCAAAAATATAATGAGTTTCCATAAGAACAGAATCTTATTTTGAGGATTTTTTTACTTACTGTTTAGTGTGTTAAAGTGAAGCATAATAAATAGTTTTCACATACTGGAGAGATAAATATCAGTGCTAAACTTACATTTTACTTTCTATTTCAAGGCTCCTGGAGCAGCTGGAAAAACGGGAAGCTTAGGGAAGAAACCTGGTGAGTCATATATTGTGACAGCACGTTGTATCTATTCTTCAATCCTTACGTTCAATGTCAACAAAGTCTTTTCCATGAGAATAAATTCTATGTGTTCTTGGTCGTTTTGCAGTAATTTGCACTGAAGAAAACTGTTGTCTATAATAAAATAATTCATGTAGCTAGAGAATAAAAACCTGCTTGCTCAAAAACGAATGTGAACTACGTGATAGATTGCTGAACAGAACAGCAGAAGCCTCAGAGAATGGAACACATTCTTACATTGTGGTTTTTACCTTATGGTATTACATAAACTTTGTGAGCTCTTGTGCCAGTTGCTCGTTTTCAAGAGCACGTATGTTGTACCCAGGCCATGTGGCTTATTGCCTGTCAAGCCTGGTCATATTGCAGACGATGATGTTGGAAGTTACTTTCTGGCTCTTTGGGTGGTGGGGGCTGTCCTTCCAAAGAGCCATTGTACTTCCAAAAATCATTAGAAAAGTGCATTCTCTGCCACTGGCAGGCATTTGTCAACTTTCCACAAGACCCCCTCTTTTTTTTCCCCTCTCAGTGGATTTGTTTGCTTCAGTACCAGAGAGATGACTTTGCCTTGAGCTGAACCAAACTAAATAGGGGGTGCTCCATGCTTCTGTGCTGTCCCTTACTCTGACACTTGTTCAGTCGCACAGGGAGGTGGGTCAAGGATGCGATCTACCAAATCTTGATTTCCATATGCACACACATGCATATGCGTATTTTATTTTGAGGGGGGGAGATTTTGTCTCCCTGAACTGTTTCACTGTGCAAGAGGAGTGTGGGGAGAGCCGATGGCAGCAGCCCCAACTTCATTTGACTTATTTTACATTGACATATGAGGAATAGGCTGCTCTTGTCCCATCTTATTGATCCATCTTTGGAAAGAAGGGTATGGAAGTAAACTAGTCCTGCCCTTTCTAACTTTTGTTACCCTGATTAAAGATAGTTATGTTAACAGTTACAAAGTTCGAGAGAGGGAGGCAAGAGTAGAGGTCTGGAAGACCTCTAGAAATGATACCTGCTAGGAATAGTGAGAAGATGCCGATAGGGCTGGCTGCTTTTTCCATGTGTGGGAGAATGGTGGAAGGCAAGGCTTGAGCCTAGAGCACTGGCTTTACCATCGCTGGTCTTCTGGATTCAAACTTTCAGTGGGGACTGAGGGGATGTTGACAAAAGATGTGTTCAGAATCTCTTGGAGTTTAGCAACAGTTTGGGAACAATCCTGCCTATTTTTCAGCAAGGAGATTCGTTTAGGTTTTTGTTATAAATGAGCTGCAAGTGCCTAGCCAATGTAAGTGAAATGAGATGAAATATTCCTGTTTATTCTAGAAGCAGCGGGATGTGTGGGTGGGAGATGGTAACAGCATGTGTTGAATGGCAAGGGAAAAGAAACTGCTCTCTGCAGATATAAGCAGCAATATGAGGACAATTATATCTGTGAGAAGGCATTTATGTTTTTTTCCAAAATGTACCTGTTTTAGTAACCATCACATTTTTTGGCCTGGGCTGTAATTGAATTGGATTTCTTCACAGTAATTCAGTACTTAAATAAATCAAAATTTAAAAGTCTTTCCTGGAAGGAACGCTATGTCTGTTCTTTTAACTTTTTTTGCTGAGATGTTTTCTCTAAATTTTTGCTTCTCTGTGGCATGTGAGAGCTGAATGTTAAACTTACAATTCATATTGTAACTTATTTAACACACAGTCCACAGTAAAAATTCTTTGTGCTGCTGGTTGGTGAAAGAGGATATCTTTCTGAGGATATCTGATACCTGGAGGTTTGTAAATCTCCTTTTTATCAATAAAAATGAGAAATTTCTTGTTCTGAGAAAGATGCAAGGCATAAGATTTTTTACTCTTTCAGTATGATATTGTGAATATTATAATTGCCGTGATAGTGGGAGAAGTTTTTGCCTGATTTAAAAAAACCCACATATATTCACAAACACCCACAGTTAATTTGTTTGCTTGTGTTTATTTTGGCTCCTGAATGGCTCTGGGATGGAGGAATAAATGTGATTCTGTGGAAGAACCTGTGAATGCAGGGAGCTCGCATCCTTTGTAGCAATATAGCCGTGTTTCCTGCCAGATAGCTCACTTGCTTTGCCTTTGCAATTGGACAGATCGTGTTGCTGCTGGCTTTTCTCTAAGTAAAACTTCCTGCTCTCCCATCCTCACCTACTACATTTTACTTAGAAATTATTTTCTTCTGTCTTCTGCTTTCACATTTTGTGTGCTAAGGTCCAGATCCACGTTTAAAGCATCTTTCTAACCCTCAGCGACTGGCTTTTGCATCACCCATTTGGTTCCGGCTCCATGTGCCTGCCTTTCCCCTCTTTGAGCTGTCGTGACGGAGGTTCTGCCGTAGTTAATTCTCTGTGTGCCATTGTTTACAGCGACCTTGGATTCTTTTTTGTGACTTCTTCATCCTCCTTAACGTTGTTCATGTACATCTCGAATGCTCCTCTGGCCATTTTGAACTTTCCTTAATCAACCTTCTAAATTTTAAGTAAACCATCTGATGCTTTTCCTGGCGATCCTCAAATCACTTTGTTGTTTCTTTTCTGCAACAAAACCGCCCTCTGTTTCAAGAGAGTTGGCTTTGTAGTTTCTTCTGCCTACAACTGCCTTTTCAATGATTGCTTCCTTTCTCCACCACTCCAGCCATACTTCCCCCTCCTTCCCCAGCCCGTGGGTGATGGGTTGTTACTGAGTACCTTCGCTGTTTCTCTTGGCCGCAGGAAATTTGGCGCATGATGACAGAGAGGGCCAAGTGGGATGGCGCCTGGCACTGTGTTAACTTTCTTAGTACAGCTGCCCATAGGAAAGCTGGAGACCACTTCTGTGTTCTTGCTCCCTTCAGCCTCGGTCCCTTTTGCTGTTGTTGTTAGCACTGACTGCTCTTCCACCTCATGCTCGCTGTCGCATTGCTTTCTGCAGCTTTATAAAGGGACAAGCTGATGGCAGATGTGGCCTTTTTCCGCTTAGTGCTGGTTTTTATGGGATAGACTAGATTGAAAATATATACAAATGGTAATCATAAGTGAAAATAACTGATACAGGTATTGTTTTATCAAGCTTTTCAAATAGAAGCTAAAATATGAAGCAGTGTGTTGATCTGTGGTCAGGTAACTGCTGAGGTTTTAAATGAAATTGGCTGTCTCGGCACTGAAGCAGTTGAGACGCATTTCTATGATCTTGTGCTACTCGCTCTGCTGTGGGCTTGTGCTGGGATAGTCTTAACCCACAACCATAACCAGTCAAACTCAGTGCCCACGTCGGCTGTTTGGTTGTCCCTGATTTTGTTTGATGTGTTGTCAAATTAAAACCTCCCCTGTCTTAGAAACAGAGTCAGAATTTGTTCTTCCAGGAAAGGTTTTTCATAAAAAAAATAATCCAAATTGCCCTCAAAAAACAGCCCTTGTATCATTCTGTTGAGGAGAATACTTAAGTGATGAATGACTGTCTACTGGAATCCTAAAAACGGGGTTTTTCAGAATTAGCAATGCTACTTCTGTGCTGCTTTGGATGTCAGAGGCCCTTCATAACTAAATGAAGGCTAAAAAAAACTTCCTACACATTCCTCTTCACTCATTACTGAAAAGGGACTGCATAAATATAGGCACCTAAAAGGTTTAGCTTACCAAAAGCTAAAAAGTTCCCAAATCTGCCATCTTTTATTTGCTAAAAGTTCCCAGTTTTCATAGTGTTAGACATGTTCTCCGTCATCCTAAAGGTGGCTTGTTGATGTGCTAAAGCTATCAGTAGCACATCAAAATGCAGCTTCTTACAAGCTCCTGTCAGCGCAAATTGGTTCAAAAAAATGGGTTCACCTGGCAGACTTCATGGTGACTAAATTATCATCTGTCTTTCCACAACGACTGTAAAATGGAGTAAACTGCACTGTCTGCTTCGGCTAATTTAACGGAGAGAGAATGGTGAGCTCATGGTTACTCTGCCTCAGATTCATGCTGGTAGGTGATCAGATAAGACACCAGTTTTGCATTAATGTTCATGGAATAAAGATTTCAGAATAAATCCTGTTTGATACATTTTGAAAAAGTTCATTTTTTTTTCTGGTCTGATGGTAAAAAAAATTCTGTAGGGCTTTATTAGTTTGCACTTCTGTTATTGCAACTTCTTTGTTATATTGCCATCAGCAATATCTCCTCTTTTTAGGGAGCTTAGTCCAAAGTGATGCTACAAAAATGCATTTATTTTAAAACAGTATTATGATGCTTGATTTTAAGAGACATATAGCTCTAACAATGGTCATTCTTCTTCTCTGTTTCAATTTTTTTTATATATCCTAACCATGGAGCTGCAGCACCTCTGTTTTATTCCTGTAGTGCTATGAACTTCTGATCTGTTTTATATTTACCGTATGTTTTGTTGGAACTACATAAATACATAATTGTATGGAAATAAATACAAAATTTATATGCTGTGCTGGTAATAATAGCTAAGTTAATGGTGTAAAGAATGCATTCAGTTTTTCCAAATTAACAGGTTTTTTTCCCTCCAACAGAAATTGCGCAAGTTATTGCCTCTTACACAGCAACGGGTCCAGAACAGCTTACTCTTGCTCCTGGTCAATTGATTCTTATCAGAAAGAAGAATCCAGGTGGCTGGTGGGAAGGAGAGCTCCAAGTTAGTTACAGGTTTTTTGAAATAAAACTCTGTGTAAAAAAAACCACAAACTAAACACGATTTTTTCATAGTTCAAAATGATGGATGCGTCAATGATAAATATTTTTGAAAATCGTCTGCAGTTCAATGGATTTACAAATAAAATGCCTTTACAAAAATGCATGTACATACATTCCAATTCCTTGAACTTGAACTAAGCATGGAGGACAGCAGGAGGAATCCGTTGTGCCTCTTTGTGAGTCAAGGACGCCCAGCTCATGAATGAGCCCCAGCCTGCAGTCCAGTCCCTCGTACATTGTCCTGGAGGCCCTTCAGATAGAAGAAAGGAGTTGGGTATAGGGCGTCTTGGTTTTGGCCACTTTCAGATCCTCACGACCTTTTGTCCAGTAGTCTTCACATGAGCAAAAAAAAGCAGTTGTCCTGTTGGGTGGTGGGGGGAGCCACCCAGGCAATGGGAGCATGCGGGGCTCTTGGGTTGGGTGACAGGGTCTGCTCAGGTGTCCTGTTCCAGTAGTGACCGCGTGTACCGCGCACCTTTGGATCAGCTGATACCCTGAAAGCAGAAAAGTACTGGAGTGTGCAGTCCTGGATGTCTTCCTAAGAAGCTTTCTAAACTGCTTCAGCAAAAAGTTTGACCATCCCTTTTGCTGAAAGGTTAAGTGTTCTACAGCGGGGGGGATTGTAAGACAGCTACCACTTTGTCAGGTTCCTTAATGAATGTGACAGTGTAGAACGTGACCGGACTAACGGTCCCATCGCACTCAATTTGATGTTGAAGAGTGAAAATACTCATGTCTCACAAGCGCCACGTGGGAGAGACCTTTAGTGCTCTATTAGAAGATAATAGACAATAAAATACTGTAACCATTTTTTAAGTGTAGAATTTGGCACTTTGGAAACTTCCAGTGACAAAGTGCTTTTTTTCTTTCCAGTACCACTGGATGAAGTTGTTTTTTTTAACAGGGAGTTCTACATGAAAGAATGTTAATTGATTTATTTTTGCAATGCAGATGCTCAAGCTAACTGAAATATTTTTTGACGTTGCTAGCTGCCCTTCTTGCCTTTACTCATCCTTTGAGGATAAATCATTTTCCAGGATTACTTTGGTTTTCATTCTCACTAACCTTTACATTGTTGTTAAAATGTAGCTTTCAATAGGCTCACATTAAGTGTTTTTTAAGATAGAAAATAAGGCTCACTGGGCAAGAGCTGTCATAATTACCGCTTGCCAGCTGATGTGAGGGCTTTTTAAATGTCAGGTTTTGAGTGTGTAAATACTCATATGTAGCTTTGGATACCTTACTATCTTACATATGGTTTGTAAGTTGTTTTTGTCTTCAGCAGCAGACCCCTACCTATTTTCATTCTCCTGTTCCAACACTGTAACACTGTTCCTTGCTCCGTTGTTATATGAGTACGGAAGCTAATGTAGCTAATGTGTGGTGAAATAGATTGAGGAACTGATTAAAAATAAAAGCAGCAACACTCCCCCTTCCCTCTCCCTCCCCCAAAAGTAGTGAAATGATGACAAGATTCGGAGAAGGGCGCTAATATTCTTTCTTTATGCATTTAGTTTCAAAGTGACAGATTTGTTATAAGTGTATGTACAGTTCAGTTTCCACCTCAGGTAAATTTTGATGCTACTTGTCTTAGGGGTGAGAGTGAAGGTAAAATAAGGCAAATGTTAAGCATTACGTTACTGAGTTTAGTATGGTCTTCCAGAATATCTTAAAATTAATGATCCAGGTACATTTTAGATGAAGTGCTTTCTTTTTCAGTAAAGAAAAAGAGAGGGAAGGAAGTAGTTAAATAATAGTGTATCTGTTAGATGCCTCTTTTTTACTAAAATTAATATGTTTTATTTTTAAAGGCAAAATTCTACGTGCCCAAAATTCCAACCTTGTTCTAACAACACAAGAAGAGAATAGAGTAACATAAATTTAACGTAAATGTAGTATAAATTTAATAGATTTAGAAGCCGAAATTTGATTTGGAGTTCTAGAATAACGTTTCCCACAGTAAGGATTTTTCTTCTAGTTTTATTTGCAATGAACAATGTGGTTGGTGAAGTAACAGGGCGTATTTTCCGTCAAATTCCTGTCCTGCTTTGGTGTCACAAGCCTTGTCAGACCTGCAGTCCCCGTGTCCCAATATCCTGTCTCAGACAGTGACTCAGGGCTCACAAACACCCAGACCACACACGCACACCAATACGTGTGGACACCACGTGTTCATACTGATGTTCTCTGATTAGACAGGAAGGAGAACATCTAGGGTTTCCAAAACCTTAATATCAGTTGGGATCATTTGGACAGTGTCTATCTATATGTATTTTTGTTTGATTGGGATTTTGTATTTGAATCCAAACTTCAACCATTCTTTTTCTTGTCATCGTGTTTTACTGTTCTTGTAGTACTAGATTAATGTGACATAAGTTTATTCTCTGTTATTTAGGCAGGAGACATTATTAAAAAGTTTACTTTTTCTCTGTAATAAAAGAGATAACTTCGATTCTTAATCTCCACTTAAACTATCGCGCTCTAGGTATCTGTTTAAATACAATCCTTTGCATAATGAAGAAGCATTTAAATTCTGTCACTCGTTAATGCAATAGCTGGCCTAATATTCTAGAGTTATATTTTAAGCAGAATCAGGAGAAATATTTTAGAAGAATGACATTAATTATAAAGCACACAAAGTAGGAACACAAGTGAAAAATCACTCATATTACTAGTACTGTTTAGATGTTATAAAGTACTGCTTAGATATTATGAAAGCTTTCTTCACATAATAGAAGTATCTTAATATTAAACTGTTGCCACAAAAATAGTTGGCTTTTTCCTTATAAAATGCATTTTTCTTATTCTAAAATAGTCAGTGTGACTGCAAGTAATTAAAATATTGGCTGAATCACCTTGTCTAAGAATCTATCGATGCGCTTAATCGTCTTAAAAGAATTGTTTTTTTACTAGGCACGAGGGAAAAAACGGCAAATAGGATGGTTCCCTGCTAATTATGTAAAACTTCTGAGCCCTGGTACCAGTAAAACTACACCAACTGAGCTACCTAAATCAACAGCATTACCTTCAGGTAAGCAATATGCTTGTATTAACAAAGTTGCCTTTGTAATGCATGTCATTTGCAATAGGACTTCCAAAAATAATTGTGGACATTCGGTAAGATATTTAGTATCTGTTATACTGATCACTTTGGTTAAACACTTAAATTTTTTTTTCTTTTAAATGTGAAAAAGGTACAATTGGTCTATATATTTATGGTGCTGGTCCCTCAAGTATGAACTGTTGCTTCTAAAAAGCCATCTGTGTAATTCCGTTTTAGAGTAAAGCATTCAAATTATCAGTCCTATTTCTTTGCACTAATCGCAGTGAAGGAGTTTAAAGTTTGGGATGATCCATGGACTTAGTGGCTGAGGCACCTCTCATTTGGAACCTTTTATTTTTCGTAAGGTGGAGTGTGAGAAAACCACTCAAATGAAGATGTAGCTTTTTGTCCTGCATAGCTACCTATATGAGGTTTATGAAAGGACACAAGAATGACAGACTATAACATTTTTAAAGCTATTTGTTACAGCTCCACCACAGACAATATCAAACAGTCCTGTCAATCTCCTACAAGGTATAAAGGCAGGCGGAAGACTGAGAACAAAAAGTTCATTCCTTGTGACTGTTTCAGTCTTCGACCTTGGGCTTGTGAGTTGGTGTAGTACCAAGTGAAGAGGATTCTTGGCAATCAGGAACATAGAATGGATGTATTTTCTTCCATAAGCCACCCAAAAGGCTTGTCACGGTTGTTTATCATCCGTTTGGATTTAGTTGGGGGGTGATAGGGGCAAAAGCTTATTGCTTCTCCAGACTGATTTTCAACTGTCTATCATTAAAATGAAATAAATGTTTCTAAATGAAAAATAGCAGGGGGCATAGTTTTTTTCTCCTTTAAATATGAATGAAGGATTATCATGCAGTTTATGGAACTAGAACAGAATACTGAGGTGTTAGTTTTATGTGTCGTTGGTATCAATAAAAGGACCGTATCAGAGAAGGCAGATGTTATAAATTGGCTCCTTTGGGTGGTCATAAAAATGCAGAATGTTGGACTTCTATAAAGACTCACAAGTTTGGGGCCTGATGTTAAAATAGTAATTCATCATTGACTTGCATGCTTTTTACAAGGCAACATGATGAGATTTGAATATTATTTTAAAAAATTATTTCAGATTTGACAGTCTAGGACTTTTTACACATGCTAATAGATCTTTTATAGAATAAACTTTTTAGCACTTTTTTCGTTGCCTACAGAGCATCCTAATCTTAATGACATTCTTTTTTATCAAATTCAGCTTTGTTATAGAACTTTCATTTTGGAGGATAAGAAAAAGAGTCTCATCTTTGTGTTATGATAGATGGCCTCACTAACTGTGTGGTTAATGTAAGAGGTTAAGATATCAGTGCACAAGTATGTTAGTGGGGAGGCTTACTGTCACAAAAGACGTGGAAAGCCTAAAGAAAACCATCTGCAAGGGCTGAATAATGCCCAGGCTGGTGCATTATGAAGGGTGTGAGGGTGTGCCATTACTGTCTGGGTTTTGAATGTAGGGGACCCATCAGAAACTGGTATCGTCAAAACCTCTGTTTCTTTTGTCATTTCATTGTGATGCATATGATTTCCATCTGCCCTGCTGTAATGCAAACTGCATGACTTGAACAGCTTTTTTTTTTTTTCTGTTGCATTGACACATTTGCTTTATACTTAGAGGCTTTCTTAATTTCTGACTGCTTTGTACGTGTTCCCTTCCAAACTTGTCACGAATGTGTCCTTCCTGGTGTTGAGAAATGAACTGTTACTGCTACTTGAAGCTATTCAGGCCTAAGGAAATTCGCACTGGGAACCGTGTTGAGAGAAGGACAATGTTATAGATTGTACTGACTGTGTTGTAGGAGAACCTAGATTCCCTCTGCTGTTGCTGTAGGACTGGTATTAATCAATAGACAATCTTTCTAACAAGGAAACAAATGGGTGAAAAGCACTGGAGGTCAGAGGAGTTAGGCAGTTACTGGCTTCTGTAGCTAGCAATGGCTTTTGGAGTTTAAGTGACGAACTTACTTACTGAAACTGTTGTAAGAGCTTCCTGTATAGAACTAAGTTATATTCTAAACTTTGTGACCAAGGGTAGATAAGGTGAAGATGAGGTCACTGCTTCAGGTTCAGTTGAGGAATCCTGTCTCTTCAAGAATTCCCTTAAATTGCCTACCAAGTTGAAGGAAATCCCTGGGATCCAACTGGAATATTTAGATATTTTCATGATACTCCTGGGCAGCATCAAATTTCATAAAATTCTTTGAATTAGAAGAGAATTTTCTAAATGAAAAATTCTTGAAAGAAATGAACTCTAGAATATAAATCTAGTAATGAATGTATTGTATTCAAGTATGGACTAGATTAATTTTTTTATTGTTATTAATGTTAGTAATACCCTCTAAACCTGTAATAAGAATGCTGTAAAACAGAATCACAGGCCTTTAAAGTGAAATGTAGATGTCAGTTGTGTTCACACACTAGAAGGTGTGCTAGCACAAAACTAGCTAAAAGAGGAGTACACCGTAATTATATATTCCTTTAGAAATGCTGTTTTTTCTCCGGTATGCCAGGGAAACGAACTTTGGTTAGCTCATGTGCTAGGTGTTACAAATGACAGCGAGTGCCCCTTTTCAAATCTTTTGTTTCTTTTCTTTTCCCCCTGTGCAAATAACAAAGCTAAACATTGCAGAGTGCTGTTAAACGCAGAGTTTATGATCTTTGTGAACAGGCACAAAGTATTGACTTAAGGGAGTTGAATAATGTCTGACATGTAAATTTAAAAAAAAAGAGAGGAGCCATTTGACATATTTAAATAGGTTACTGGCTGAGTACAAGAATGAAAATAATGTTCTGGGATGAATGTAATGGAGAGAACTTGACAGCATGGCTAATTAGAGAGATGTCTTGTGTCTCAGGGCAAAATACCAGAACCCCTGTGACCTGGCATAGACAAAACGTCGGAGCAATAGAGAAACTCATATATTTAAACAAACAATCCTGCTGCTTTTGAGAATTAAGTAAACTGTTCTATTATAATTGAACAGAAATGGCTATGTTCTGAGAACCAGACAGATTTGATGAGTTTCACAGTAGGGAAATAGAAAATAGGCTGCTGGAAGCAGTCCTGTCATGCTAGAAGAGCAGCCTAAATGGCCTAGGATGCTTTTTATTTTTCTCATCCTTTCCAAGATCTTTGTGTTCCTAACACCTCAGTGGTACTGTAAGTGTATCGCCATTGGCTTTCTCCTGAGCGGTAGAGCTGTGTTGAGCATGTCCGGTGCTAAATTAGGAAAGTGTGCCTTTTTCAGGCTTCAGGTAGTGGAATGCAAAATGTTTCCCAGACTTTTCTGTCCATTGACCAGTTCTGATGGAAAGTATGCTTTTCAGAACAGATTGGTGAGGATGCAGAATGCTATTTTTATAAATGTACAACAAACCTGGTGCTTTTGTGAGCAATATATATATATATAAAACAGAAGAGAAGTGTCAGGAGAAAGCTAACATCCTTGAAGTGTTTGACTTTTTCCAAAACTTTTAGATTTTGCCAATCTTCTTCTACTGCTGAGCACTTCCACACAAAAGTATCTTGGCTGTGATTCCAGGCAGGTTACACTGTTCTTAGTTTGCAGGACTGTGCTCTGCCCTGCACAGTGTGATCCTGACCCCTCAGCAAGCTCACAGAGAGCACAGCGCTGCTGGGAAGCTCTTATGGGTTTTTAGTCCACCTTGAGCTGATTTGTTGAGGGCTCAGCCAAGCACCAGTACAGGGGCACCGGAGAGAGAGGCAGGATCGGTTCAGGCCAGTGGAGTGTCTTGGCTCTCTACCGTGGCATCGGTGGCGTTCATCGTTGGCTTACGCGTAGCTTATGCTTTGCCAAAACCCTACAGGTGCGTCAGACCTCTTCCTTTATCTTACAGTGTGCCAAGTCATTGGCATGTATGACTACACTGCACAGAATGACGATGAGCTAGCGTTCAATAAAGGCCAGATTATAAACGTCCTTAACAAGGAAGACCCAGACTGGTGGAAAGGGGAGGTGAATGGACAAGTGGGTCTCTTTCCATCCAACTATGTGAAGCTGACAACAGACATGGACCCGAGCCAGCAATGTAAGTGACCCTCTCTGCTGCCGTGCTGTGATTGTGTCGAAACATGCAGCATTGCTGTGATTCTGCTGCGGTTCGCAGAACTCAAAAAGTTTCACCACTGCTGCACTTGTCAGAGTCTCTTTGAAGACCTTCTGTAATGCAAACCTTACTTTATGTTTGTTTTATTTTTAGTTCCCATCCCCTTTGTAGCATGTTACCCTTTTATCATTTTTGCACCATGCTGTTTACATGCCTGACTCATTTTCCTAGCTTGAATTTGCTCATTGTTTTGTTTTGCTTATGTGTTGTTTTCCTCCTTTTTCTAGGAATCATATGTTGTCCATCCCCCACTCAGGCTTGAAAGTCCTCAAAGAGACCCACTATCCCATATCACTGCCCAGAGGGATGATGGGAGATGCAGCCTTGATCATGTGGCTTCCAGCATGATCATCTACTGCCTTCTGAGTAGAAGAACACACTGCAGAGCAGTTTACCTCATTTTACATTAGTTGCATGTAATCGCAATGTTTGAGTTAATTACCTACAGATATAGACGCAAAATTAAAATGAAACAAAAAAAAACACACAAAAAAATCAGAGGATAGTGGGTCCTTTTGCGGCTTTCAGAGTTACCAAACTAATTTTTTTCACCTTCACACAGGTGCTTTCGGTAGTTTAAAAATTATTTTTAAATACGTATTTTAGCCTTTTAAAGGAAAAGTATAAATTAAGTTTCTTCATTGCAATTTTGTTTGTGCAAAAAGACCCACTATCAAGGAATGCTGCATGTGCTATTAAATTGTTCCAAATGTCCATAAATTTGAGACTTTATGTATCTTCCTTTTTTTATTGTTCACTTGTCCAGTGTTGTCAATATGTCCTTTTTTTTAATTATTTTTTTTAATTACAAAAGAACAGAAGGAGTTAAATCAGTTTAAGGAACTTTATATGTGCCCAATTACGGATAAGGTATTTTATTGTAGTTATTGTACTGTATGTATCAGGTGTTCCTTGTTGAGTGTGTAATACATTGTGGAGAGAAGAAATTAATTTCCTCCCAATGCAAGAGATATTAACCTTGCATCATGTTATCCCAGTTATGTTAATTTTATTTTGCACATTACTTGTAGCTGCATTCAGTTAGAAAACACCTTGGTTTGTGTTTGTCTCAGATGTTTCGCTTTTTGCATTTTCGTATCAGAACTCAACAGAACGCTACATTCATGTGGGATTTGAGAATTAATTTCTTTATTTTCATCTTGATCACGTGAAGTTTGATTTCTCATTTTTACTTCCTTATGATTATGGAACAACACATTTTGAACAAGTGATTTTCCTGACAAGAAAGAATGTATAGAAAGATCTCCCTGCAATTAATTTCCGATGTTTACATTTTTTTAAACTAGACTGTGGAATTTATACAAATTAATATTAAATGGAGCTTACAGTCAAGTTTATGTACTAGATGTGCTGTAGCTAAGCCATGTTTGTCTTTCCAGCCTTAGTGACAAGCTCTGGATGAAATGCGTGGTGCTGTCAGTGCAGAAACCTTCTCTCTCTTCCTAATGCCTCAAGCACAATATAGCCGTTCTACTAATTACTTTACCATCTAGTTATGTTCTGGTTTATGTATTTCATTTATTTCTAAATTTCATGCTGGCAGTGTTGTAGCGTTTCTAATCCCGCCCCATCTCCCTCTTCCTGACCCGTCGTGTGGTGCAAAGAACAAGTGAAGCTCCTTATTCAATTGCACTTCAGTATTTCATCAATATGAATGTAAATTATATAAATATATAAAAACCTGCAGCTTTAACAACTGTAATACAGCCTTTAAAATTAGTTACATGTATAGATAATTAAATTCTTCATATAAAAGATAGACTAAAATGTGTTTGTTGTCTTGTTGCTGTGTACACACAGAATTCACCAAGTGGCATTGGGGCATGTAATGAATTTGCCACCAGAATAGCCAGAAGCCCACCTGTTTAATTTCAGAATGACATTTGTCTTCTTTCTTTGAATGTTATTTCGATGTAATTGCTCAGATTGGTCATGATTATGTGCAAACTTCTGCACCTTTCTTTCTCAGTTTGGTGGTTTCTACATGTTGCAAATCAGTTGATTTTTTTGACACTATACTGGTCGATGTGTTAAGTATTCTTTGTTGTTTTACCTTGGGTTTACATTGACGTAGGGTCTCTGTTTTATGCCAGAAGTTCTAGTCTTGAAACATGCACGGTTGCACAGAGTTTCTTTCTTTTTAGGATAGTATTTAACATGCACAATTTTTTCCTTTACCACTCTGCTGTTAAATTTCTTTTTTTTCTTCTCCATCATACCCACTTGCTGAAAAATGTTCTGCTTGGTATGACAGAAATTGAACAGATCATAACACTTATTTTCAGTGCCCATTGTTTTGTTAACTGAGGATGATGTAGCCAGATTTTACTCCACTATTTCAATATTTTGTGCATTAAAATATTATTTTAATGAAAGGATATCTCTGTTTTCCCCTAATGAGCTGTTCTGTTGAAAGATTTATAACTTGACTGAAAGCGTTTGTCCTAAGGGACATTTTGGTTTTTATGACTTCAGGCCAGAAGTCTCTTTATATATTGAAATATTGGCAATACTTTGGATAGAGGGGATTCAGATGGTGCTTTTTTTATCACGTTACTTCAAGTGAGAATTGCAATAAAGATGTAATAATGTGCTTCTTAAAAATTCTGAGAGTGCTGTCTCATAAAAGATTTTCAAAATCACGGTGACCTGAAAATTTCTGGGATGGTTTTTCTACTGAAGTGAAAGTTACAGCCTGAAGTTGTCCCTCTGTACGCGCACGCACACACACAGCTTTATCAATCTGTTTTTGAGAACAGTTAACTCACAAAAACTTCAAAACACCTTTAAAATGTCCTAGACAAAGATATCTGAACTGTTGTAGCTTATGTTGATACACAGTGTTGAAATATCTACAAAGTTTATTTACTTGATTATTAAACTTTTTACGTGTACTACTATAGCTTGGCACATGGTAGTGTTCAAATCTTCCTCATCATCAGTGATTTCTGTTGAGTAGCAGGGAATGTGCTGCTACTTGTCTACATTTTTGGTTATATATATATATATAAAAAAAATATTGATGAGAACAAGAGTTTGAAAGCAACTCTTTAATAAAGAAAATGGATTATTTCCATCAACAAGAATAGTTTCCAGGGTTGTGTCTCCATCCAGTTTTCACCCTCTCTTTGCTTCCCAGTTCATCTGAAAAGGTCTTTAACCTCCCAAGACACGCAGTCCCCTCCCAAAAACATAAATCCGTGCTGCAGCAAGCAAAGCTGTCTCCAAAAGAGCGCTTCCCTCCCGCGAGGGAGATGTGCCTACACTCTTTTTTCCCTCGGTCCTTGAACTTTTGGCTGCAAGGCCAGCACTAATCCCAATCGAGGCTGAAACAAGACTTAGTTGAAAATAAGAAAATAAGAAGCCGTTCGGGTGATTTTGGAATTTGTTCATATTTTAAGTTAGCCTTAAGAAAAAAGAGCAGTCTCTCTGCTGCTTAGTTAATGAAATGCTTTCTTTGTATTCACTTTCGTGTGCTGAGTACCTTTTCCCTTTGTACAGGAGCTGTCATTTAAGGGCTGTAGAGGAGACTGAACATAGAGACCACTTCAAGTGGTGGTGGGTTATTTTTTTTCACAGCTTTTTCTGTTTATCTTGAGAAGAATTTCCTCTGTATTCAGCTGCTGAGGAAGAATTCCCATGAATGTTCTTTCAGGGAATTTGTTGATACCAATACCAGTACTTCAAACCTGTCTTGAGACAACTCAGTCTAAAACATGGGTTTATCAATTACATTTTGCTTTGTATTCAGAATCAGATTTATTTCAATCTCAATTATTTTGGAGCTTCTGTAGGATCTCTTTTAGTCCCCATGAGCTCACTGAACTCATTTTAAAATGGTCTATTACCATAACCTTTCCAGCAAGGCAACAAAATAACTGCATGTTCTCTGGTTTTAAAGCAGTTCTTTTTAGTTCCTTGCGATTATTGACTCTATTTAACTTCTTGTTAAATAGCTTCTTGTATGCAGCCCGCTTCTGATTACAATAAATGGCTTATTTTTAACTTTTTTTTAGACCACTTCAATAAAACCAGGGACACCATAGCTCAAATACTATTTAAACAGCTGAATTGCAAGCCAAGTGCATGCACACAGGCAGCCGGATGACAAGCTGCTGCTTAGCTAAATAGAAAGCACTAAGGTGACCTTTCAATTCCAAACCCTGAGTGAGTGTTTTCAGAAGGTTGTCCTGGGTGCAGTTAAAAACGTAAATTATTTTCACAGAGACTTCATTTCCCACATGTAGACTTTATGGGCTTTGGTACTTGTTGTTTGATAGCCTGCAAAGGAATGCTTTGCCATGAATAAAGATTCATTTTGAGTTCTTGTCCGTGTGAAGAGACATCAGGAGAGTTGCGTTAACTATCTGGTGTAACCTGGTAACGTTCCTAGTATGTGTAAACATAATTCTGATACGCTCAACAAATCTCTGTAGCTTGTTACAGCAAGTTTCATAGCTGTTTCATTCCTCTCCCCTTTCCATACGTCATAATTTGGAAACTTCGTTTCAAAACCAAACCTCAAGAAGCATCCCTGTAGCGTGGCACAGAAAACTCAGATGGCAATATCTGCATAGAGCCAGAAAGTAATTTGGATCAAACCTGTACCTCATCTTCTATAACTTTTATTAATCCTGTGGAGCGACACAGAGTAAGAAGTCAGATTGTAGAGCATGTTTAAACTTGTGAAATAGTTGTAATTAAGCTTTTCATGGAAAAGGTAGCTGTTGGTGTCTGAAGGTAGGAAGATGTCCATACCAGAGGTATCTGTCCTACAGCAAGCGGGAGTAGAGCTTTCGGAAGGTGTTGTGCTCCCTAAACGCAGGATTTGGCCCCTTTTTCCAGTACAAGCTTCTCCATTTGTTTCTTCATGCCCTGCCTATCCTTGCCAGCCTGACATC